CACTGCCAGGGGTAACTCCTGAGTGTAGAGCCAGCAGTAACCCCTGTGCAAAGCAAAAAATGCTGGAGCGATAGCACAGCGGTAGGGCGTTTGCCTTGCACGCAGCCAACATGGCCGACCCGAGTTCGATTCCTCCACCCCTCCCGGAGAGCCCGGCAAGCTACCGAGAGTATCTCGCCCGCATGGCAGAGCCTGGCAAGCTCCCCGTGACGTCTTCGATATGCCAGACACAGTAACAACAAAGTCTCCAATGGAGACGTTACTGGGCCCGCTCGAGCAAATCGATGATCAACGGGAGGGCCTTTACTAAAAAATGATAATAATAAAAATTTTTTTAAAAAATAAAGCACAGAGCCTGGAGTTGCCCCTACACATCACTGGGCATGGCTCAAAAATCCAAACACAGAGAGAAAGAAGGAAGGAAGGAAGGAAGGAAGGAAGGAAGGAAGGAAGGGAAAGAAAGAAAGAAAAAGAAAGAAGGAAAGAAAGAAATCCTTTACAGCATTTATTTTCTTTTCTGCTTCTCAACGTATGTGCTCATTTGACCCTTTTACGCATTCAAGTCATAAAATTACTGCCTCTGTGGGTTGGAAGTCAGGTCTTCTCGGCTAGAAAAATCCTGGAGTTTGCGAGAAATTGCTTGTCAGGGTCACTGCACCAGGCTCCTGGCCCCTGCAGGGAGCTGGGAACGGAATCTGAGGCATGTGACATTGGAGTGCCATGGTGCCGTGGTTGGACCTATTTAGTCACTTGATCTCAGCCGGGCTAGGAGCCGCGCCAGTTAGAGCGAGAGGCAAGTGAAGTGTAGTGACAGTGTGGAATAAGTTTCATGAGAGCCGGGAAAGCGGCCTGCAGGGGAGGAATTCCACATAGGACGGATCTAACGTTTTCACAGTTCACGCCAATCGAAAACCCTTCCTGCCCTCACCTTGCAGAGTCGCCTAGTTGTTGACTGGTCCCTCCTGAAACGTGTGCCCTCTTTTCTCAAAGGGCACAGCCAGAAGAAGTGCTCCCTCTTCTACACCTCACCTCACCCTTCTGGAACTAGCAAGTTTGTTTCGCAGTGTCATGGTTGTGGATGTTGAGCGGTTGGCCTGTGGAAAGCAGATAACAACCTTAGTTTACCCCCGGTGACAACTGCCGCGCTCAGCGGACTAGTCCTTTGTTAACCCCCAAACTCGCAGGTTGGGAAATTAAAAAGTAGAAGGGAGGGGCTGGAGTGATAGCACAGCGGGGAGGGCGTTTACCTTGCACGCGGCAGACCCGGGTTCGATTCCCAGCATCCCATAGGGTCCCCTGAGCACTGCCAGGAGTGATTCCTGAGTGCATGAGCCAGGAGTAACCCCTGCGCATCGCCGGGTGTGGCCGAAAAAGCAAAAACAAAAACAAAACAAAACAAAAAAACAAAAAGAGTAGAAGGGAAAATGAGGGATGAAGATTTTCTTTTCCACCATAGTAAAACCGTACTCTTTGCCGTGAGGGAAACTGATAGGAACAGATTTGGTGAAATACGGAAAGAAGATAATGTCCAGGAAAGGGAAGAAGTGAGTTGAGCAAGGGTGGTTAAGACATCTGGTCTTACTAATCTTGCCCTCACTTGGAGGCATGACTTAAAGTAAAAGTAAAGGCCCTCCCGTTGATCGTCGATTTGCTCGAGCGGGCCCAGTAACGTCTCCATTGGAGACTTTGTTGTTACTGTGTCTGGCATATCGAATACTCTCGGTAGCTTGCCGGGCTCTCCGAGAGGGGCGGGGGAATCGAACTCGGGTCGGCCATGTTGGTCGCTTGTAAGGCAAACGCCCTACCCGCTGTGCTATCACTCCAGCCCAAACAAGTGGAGGTGCCGGGGATCGAACCCGGGGCCTCATACATGCCTGTATGAGGCATGACTTGGAGTCTGAAAATAAGCGACCTGATCCCCAGACTCTGTGCTTTGTCTGCCCTCTAGTGGGCAGGAGTCACCAATACGAAACTCGGGCAAAGCGGGCAGCGACAGTAACAATCCCCTCCAGGCACAGACTTCTCTATTATTTTTGTTTGGTAGGTTTGGGGAAGGATTTGGGGAGTGGGGAGAACACCTGGCGGTTCTCAGGGATCACTCTTGCGCTCAGGGATCACCCTTGGAAGGCCTCAGTGGGATCTTTGTGGTGACCGGAGCCAAGCCGGGCAAGAGTGATCCCTGAGCACAGAGTCAGGAGTAAGGCCTGAGCACTGCTGGATGTGCCCCCCACCCCCGGTGAAACAGAACCTAAATTCCAAAATATGAAACTTGTCTTTCCAGCATGGGACCATGCCAATGCCCAACCATTCACTTGATCCCAGGGAGCGGAGCTCTTTTTGTATTCTTTATTTCCTGTATTTTTAGTAGTACAATCTCCGCCCCCCCTCCCCGCCCCCAAAACACACACATCCATTTTCAAAGCATGAATGTATAGAACATGTCTAAGAACACGCCCTGTGAGGCTAAAGCGATAGCACAGTGGGTAGGGCGTTTGCCTTGCACACGGCCGACCTGGGTTCGATTCCCAGCACCCTATATGGTCTCCTGAGCACCGCCAAGGGTGATTCCTGAGTATACAAAGAAGGAAGGAGGAGGAGGAGGAGGAGGAGGAGGAGGAGAAGAAGGAGAAGAAGACCCGTGAGTGTCCCCCTCCATCTCCTCCATCTCCTTTGTCATAACTGTATCAGAGACACGCGACTCACAGCGGTCCAGTGATGCAGAACCCCATTCCAACATTCTCAGTCTCCTTCCAATGCCAAGTGAATCCCCAGTAGCGCCCCCAATTCCTGTACCCCAGTGGTCTTCCAGGAGGCGGATACAGGATGGTTGAAAACGTTTGATGAAAATCTCCCGCCTGCCTGTTTGTGGACTTGTATGCAGAAGTGCCCATGCCGGTGTGCAAGTTTAAGAAGCTTCAGGAGTGCTGCTTTAGAGGCACTGACATGGGCTACTGAATTAGTGACCATTATAAAAGGCTCACATGGCAGAGACCAGAGGCCAGCCCAGGCACCTTCTTGAAACAGGAAATATTGACCATGGCTTCTGTACAAAGTGACCCCTGCCATTCTCTTCCCGGGGAGCTGTCATGGCCAGCTTTTACCTTGGCTGCTTCTATCCCATGGGGCCGTGGGGTCACCACCAGGTTTCTCCCTAGAGAAACTCACAGGATGTGCCCTGTAAAACTGCCCATGAATGTTTAGTGCTGGCTGATCCATGGAATACAAACTGAAGACAACTGAAATGTCTGTACTCAGGAGAGTGGAAAAATAAAATGGGGAAATTTACTAAATTCATTGCAAAGAATGAAAAACCACTTTTTTAGATTTGCTTTGATGGCAAATCTAAAAATCCTAGTTTTGGGTAAGAAAAAGCATTTGCAAAATACCTGTGAAGTAATAGGTAGTTCAGAAACATACACTAATTAATGCATGATTTAGAGATTTCCCGGGGCAGAGAAACCTCGGGATGGTAAAAACAAAACCAGAAAAATCACTATGCTTAGAAGAGGTCCGTCCAATTTAGCAAGTCACATAAAATGATTTCTTTCCACCCCTCCATGAAAGAGCTCCCAAACCTTTTCATTCTAAACTATGCCTGAGGGATCATAGCCAAGAACTCACTGGCAAATCCGATGTGGGCAAGAGTTTGCCCTTTTCTCCTCTAAGAATGTTCTAGTTGCAGCTTTGGGAGAGGGAGGGGCTTTGTGCTTTCGGGTCATTCGTAGTGATGACTGGTAATGCTGGGAAAGGGGTGTTGTCACGCCAGGTGGGGTTCGGGTGACCATGCCGTGAAGTGTGGGTCAGGGGGAATGGAACCAATGGAACCGGTGTGCTGATTCTTTGGCCCTAGTTACAACTCTCAAGTTGTGGCCTCTGAGCCATTTGTGTGCAGTTAAGGGCCAAAATAATTTTTTAGATTTTTTTTTTTTAAGTAGGGGCCACTGGGACAAAACTTGTTTTGAGACTGCAGATCCATACCAAGTGTGCGGGTGTTGGGGAGGGGGCGGGGGGTTGTATGTGCATGCAGGGATCAGACCTAGAATAACACATTTCTAAAAACAAAAATGTGAGGTGCATATGCTGCCTGAGCCCATGTGCTGCTTGAGCACATGGTGACCGAGCACATGTGTCCTCTGCATCTCCCCTCTTGAGACGTGGACTTTCATGCTTTCGTGTCTAATCCTAGGATATGTGCCAGGGCTCTCTCCGCCCTTGGAGAAGCCCGCATTTTCTCTTAAGTGAGATACTCTCTCCCCCACCCGCCCCATCTCTTCTCCACACCTTCAAAACCTCCAAATAAAATCTGTTTTATTTAAAAAAAAAAGGGGGGGGAAGTTGTATTAATTCTAGAAGACTCCTCAATAATAAAAATAATGTTTTTTTCAATTGAGGTAGGGGTCAAAGAGAGAGTACGGGGTCCCAAGCACCTGAGTAGAGAGTCAGAAATAAGCTTTAAGCACTGCCAAGCCTGGTCCAAATCTTCCCCAAGCCCCCACTGAAATAAAGCAAGCAATACTTTTATTGCTAAATAAAAAGGAAGAAAATAAAGAAAAACGATCCACCACCTATGCTCAAGTTGACTAAAGGCAGGGACGGAAAGTCCCGGCCCGGTGGGGAACTCATTCATGCATTAGCCGCAGGGGCGGAGCCGCGATCTGGAGCCGCCCCCGACAGGTCCTGGGGCCCGGGTGCGAGTCCAGCCGCCAGCCCCGCCCCTTTCCCGCCTCGGAGGCGGGGTCCCGCGCGGGAGTGAGTGGGAGGGAAAACCCGGACACACCAGGGTCGCCGCCGAGAGCCACCAGCGGCCGTAAAGCGCGGGCGCCGGCTCCACGCGGGCCGAGTGCGTGCCGGGCTTTACCTCGCTCCCTGAGGGGGCGGAGCCCGAGCGGGCCGGGGGCTCCGCGCATGCTCCGGGGCTCGGTCCGGATTGGCCGCGCCGAGCGCGCTGGGCGTGGCGGGAGGCCCGTGCGTTGGGAGCGCGCGGGGAGGCGGACGCCGATGGCCCCGCGGCGGGCCCGGGCGCGGGGTGCGGGGTGAGTGGCGCGGCCGGCGGGGCCCCCGACTTCCGCCGCCCCCGTCACTGCCGGAGCTTGTCCAAGGCCCCCAGCTCCGGCCCTGCCGTTGTGGCGTTTGTCCGAGTGGCTCGGAGTCTGGGTTTCCGGGCCCGTTGAAAGCGGGAACTGCAGGGGTCGCGAGCGGGAACTGCAGGAGTCGCGAGCGGGAACTGCAGGAGTCGCGAGCGGGAACTGCAGGAGTCCTAAGCGGGAACTGCAGGAGTCCTAAGCGGGAACTACAGGAGTCCTGAGCGGGAACTGCAGGAGTCGTGAGCGGCAACTGCAGGAGTCGTGAGCGGCAACTGCAGGAGTCGTGAGCGGCAACTGCAGGAGTCGTAAGCGGGAACTGCAGGAGTCCTAAGCGGCAACTGCAGGAGTCGCGAGCGGGAACTGCAGGAGTCACGAGCGGGAACTGCAGGAGTCACGAGCGGCAACTGCAGGAGTCGTAGAGCGGGAACTGCAGGAGTCCTAAGCGGGAACTGCAGGGGTCGTGAGCGGGAACTGCAGGGGTCCTGAGCGGGAACTGCAGGAGTCGTGAGCGAGAACTGCAGGAGTCGTGAGCGAGAACTGCAGGAGTCGTAGAGCGGGAACTGCAGGAGTCGTAAGCGGGAACTGCAGGAGTCGTGAGCGGCAACTGCAGGAGTCGTAAGCAGGAACTGCAGGAGTCGTAGAGCGGGAACTGCAGGAGTCGTGCGCGGAAACTGCAGGAGTCCTAAGCGGGAACTGCAGGAGTCCTAAGCGGGAACTGCAGGAGTCCTAAGCGGGAACTGCAGGAGTCCTAAGCGGCAACTGCAGGAGTCGTGAGCGGGAACTGCAGGTGTCCTAAGCGGGAACTGCAGGGGTCGTGAGCGGCAACTGCAGGAGTCGTGAGCGGGAACTGCAGGAGTCGTAAGCGGGAACTGCAGGAGTCGTGACTTCATGGGCTTCCCAGGAGGCCCAAGTGAACCCTCGTGAAACCGTGCCTGGCAGGTAGGGAAAAGCAGGACAGCCAGTGTGAGCATTGCTCTGCGTGTGGATGAGTGCAGTCCCCAGCAGCTGAGTCGTGAGCTCTTTGGAAACGCTGCAGTTTGCCTGCAATAGCCGTCAGCAGTGTTGGCACTCCTTGACCGGCCGGGAGCTCCTCCCGCAGAGTGCTCCCAGCTGTGGGGCGTGACTCGAGGTGGAAGGTGGAACCTGGGTGGTCCCTGGCAGGAGGTCTCTGCTTATCTCTGCAAGGGAACTCCAGGATGGGGCCAGAAGCTTTGCTTTGTTCCCCTCGGGAGGTGGCAGGCGTTTTCAAACAGTGCTCCCGGGAATGTTGTGGGTTCGTTGGCAGCTGGCTGGCTAGCAGGGCCTGGGCTAGTGGGATGGAAGGACGGGGACGGGGAGGGGACACGGGGACTGTGCCATCCGTGGGTCATGTGTCAGGGCGGAAGGTGAGCCAGGCAGTGCAAAGGAAGAGCTGTCACTGGACCGGGTGCAGGGGAAGTGAACCCAAACTCGAGGCCCCTGGCCAGTGGGAAAGAGCTGAAGCCACCACCCTGGCCCCTCGACCCCCAGTGGGGGACAGGATTGGGAAAGAATTCGGGGGTCTCTTCAATGGATGGCCACTGACAAGGCTGGCAAGAATCAGGCTTTATTTGATTGGCCTGTGTTTTCTGGCCTTTGTTTGCTATCTCGCCCGCGTGGCAGAGCCTGGCAACTACCCGCGGGGTGTTCGGTATGCCAAACACAGTAAAAACGAGTCTCGAAGTGGAGACGTTGCTGGACCCGCTCGAGCAAATCCATGCACAACGGGAGGACAGGGACAGTGACAGTTGCTTTTCTGTTTCTCCATGGAGGTGCTCGCCTGCCTCCGCACAGGTCCCGTCCATCAACATCTTCACGCAGGAGATCACGACAGTGTGCAACTCCTTGAACTCCCCACCTTCCTCCCAGCCCAAAGTACAGAGCCGTTTTGACCATTTGTCAGATACAGACAAGGCAGGAGATGCGGGACAAGTTTAGGTGAAGTCATGCCCTCACGCTGGTGCTGGGATTGGTGTTGGAACGTCCGCAAATCACAGAGCATTAATTTTAAAAATTCATTTTAAAAAGGCCATGCAGTCTGGTTGCTAGTCTTTTTTTGCTTCTTGGCCCTGGCCATTCAGTGATCATCCTTTAACTTTTCTGATCCCCAAATCATAGCATGCGAGTCAAAATGAAGCTGGTTCCCTAAGCAGCAGCATTGACACCACCTGGGAATTGTTAGAAATGGACCCTCCAGTAGGGGGTCTCAGTCTCACCGCTGGGGGTGGACCTAGTGGGTGGTTCTTGGGAACCAGGCTCTTCGCAACTGCCCGGTGTTTGTTTTTGTTGCATTTTGCTTTGTTTTCACTGTGGCACACGACTGTTTTTATGTCTTGGCACACGTGTACACTTGCGCACACACAGTAAATGGAGATTTCTGAAAACTCTCTGTAACTCTCTGTCCAGTGCAGTCTTGCAGTGCAGATTCATTGTACCTTCCCTTTCAAGAAATTGCTGAGGGAAACACCTCAGCTAATTTCACGGGGCCATTGAGGAATTTAGGATATATCGGCCGCGGGGTGCAGAATCATGTCAGTGTTGGATTCCTGACCAGGAAATGGTACTCTGATGATGCAAAACAGTGTCCCGTTCCTCCGGAAAGATGCCTACAGATGTTAGGGCTAAGGGCACAGTGTCTTCCACTTCCCTCTCCACCCTCCCCCCACCCCCCCCCCCACACACACACCACAGACCAGACAGAATGTGACCAGCCTGTGAACCTGAAAAGAGTCCATGAAAGGAAAGGTCCTTGCACGATTCTTGCTCCTTTTCTATCCATGTAAGATGCTGTCACACAGTAGTTCAGAAACTGACCCTGTTCTGCTTCCCTCTCCGGGGGTCTTTTGAGTCTGGCTGTGCCTGGCGTAGAGGATGCACAGCCCACCGTCCCTGGCCAGTGATTTCCTGCCTCTTTGCTTGCTGGCTTTCAGTCCTGCTCACTACTGGCACATCGTGTTTCCTCCTGAAGTTAGGCGGTTTTGCCCTCTTAGCCTCAAAGCCCAGTAGAGGCCCCATGAAGGGGTGGAAGGAGCAGGCTCTGGGCTGGCGCTGAGGGACCTTGATGCCGGCCTCTCTCCTCTCCTCTCCTCTCCAGCTGCATGTTGGGCAGGCCATCTTCACAGTATGGAATTCCCTTTGCTCCTGTGGGACTGTGAGCAACAAATGCCTTCCGGTGGCCCAGAGATAGGGTGTCGGGAACTAAAATGTCAGCGTCCCTCCCATGAGGTCAGCTCTGCAGACACAGTTCATCTTGGCACCTCAGAGACAAGAAAAACCGGATTCGAATTTTCCGCTTCCCTAGAGGAGAGAAGTGTGTTGTTTTATCCATTAGTGATCATAAATTGTGTCACGCCTGGCGTTGCTTAATGCTTACTCCTGGCTCTGGGCACACTGACTCACTCCTAGTAGGGCTAGGGGGGCGTGCTCGGGTGCCGGGGACAGAAGCCAGGATTCTGCTTTCTGGAAGGATTTTGTCGTACTCTAGCTTTCATCAAATGCATGCTATTCGTGAGACTCCTGGAAACGAAGGAGAAAGGTTGGGAAGGTCCAGTGATGTATCCCTGACTCTGCAGGTAGGCTGTCCGCGCACGTGGCACCCCATCAAACAGTTCTTCGTGCCAAGTAGCAGTGAACAGCCAAGGACGGAGAATATCTGGGGTGAGGTCTGGGGAGGGTACAGAGCGTGGAGCATCCGTCTCCCTAACTGGGGGCATGGGTCTCCTCTACAGATGCGCTAAGAGCCCTGAAGAAACGTGCTTCTTTGGGTTGGTGGAGCATTCCCAACCTCAGCTGGATGAATCATTTCTCTCTCCTGAAGGGAGGGAAGTTCCGTGAAAGTTCTGGACTTCTGTTCCTTCATGGCTTGGTCTTTCAGGGGGCCCTTGGAAATTTCCAAGGGTTCCCCTCACTTTGAGCCTGGCACAGAAGCGAATGCAGATTTGTTTCTGTTATCTGATGAAAGGGTTGCAGGTGATGGTTTTCCCCAGTTCGTTTAAATATGTCCTAACTCGGGGCTGGAGTGGTAGCACAGCGGGTAGGGCGTTTGCCTTGCACACGGCCGACCCGGGTTCGATTCCCAGCATCCCATAGGGTCCCCCAAGCACGGCCAGGAGTAGTTCCTGAGTGCATGAACTAGGAGTAACCCCGGTGCATCGCTGGGTGTGACCCAAAAAAGCAAAACATAAATAAATATGTGCTAACTCTTGTGTATTCTTGCTGTTTAGAAGTATAAGATATTCCGGGGACACTGTAGGAAGAACCCAGTCCAGCAAGAATGTAAGTTACCTCTTTCTGAGTGGAAGTTTTTTGGTGATGGGCAGACTTGGCTTGAGGAGTTCCTACGGTCTGCTGTAGGAAAAAAACTGCTGTGTTCTTCTTCCCATGCTTTCTCGTAGAGGAAATGACTGATGTTAACCACTTACCTCTTTTCTGGGACCGGGTTAGATTTATTTTCATTTGGATGGATGATACACAAAAACTACCCAGCTTTCTGTATTTTGCTTTTTGCCCTGTTGTAATCATTGAATAAGTGCATGTTGGCGTTTTCAGTTGCTGTTTATATTTTTATAAACAATTTTGTTTATATTGTTTATAATTTTATATTGTTTATAGTTTTATAATACTCCACTTACCAGCATTATGCTTGCTTTGGGATATCTCAATAGGCAGAAACATAACTTGTTTGTCGATTTGGGGCCACACCCATTGGTGCTTAGTTAAGCCTTAGTCCAGCCTCTAGCCTCTGCACTCCGATCACTCCTGGCTATGCCTGGGGAACCGTATCGGGTGCCGGGGATTAACCCCAGGGCTGCAGCGTGTAGGCAAGCCCCCAGCCTCCTGTGCTAGATTGCTCCAGCCCCTTCTGTGATACACTCGCTCTGGCTTCAGCTTCCTTTCCGGTGACCACCCGCTGGCCTTGGAGAGTAACACTGGTCACCGAGGAGAGTGCTGTTTCTCAGGAGCTCGCAGTGTGTTCAGAGGCTGCTCTTTTCCAGGGGCTGCCCACTCGCTCTATCTGCAGGGTTTTCCTTACACTCTGCGCCCCCAGCCCAGCCCAGCTCTCTGCCCCTGAGCCCGGCAGGATTTCTCTGAGCTCTTGGCCAGCCTGAGCGCTCCGGTTCCCCAAGGCCACATGCCCACCAGAGGGGTTTCTGCCTCTTGCAGCTGCCGTGCTCAGGCGTGAGGCCCCACAACCTTGGTGGGATGGGGGTGTGGGGGAGCGGTCAGGCCTGCCCCGGTGGGCATGAACCCTCCCTGAATAGTGTCCAGTCGGGGTCTAGGAGCAGTAAGGTTTTTGCCCTGTCTGCCAGTATTATGAGGCTTCCTTCGCATCTCCCCGAGCCTGAGTTTTCTGTTGGGGCCTGCTAGCTCTTCCAGGACTGCTGTGAAAGTCTCCCTCGTTTTCTGTCTCTTTGGGTCTTCCCGTGGCATTTGGCCAGCCAACTCCTTGGTGCTTCGAAGCAGATCGAGCAGTGACGCCGGGCTACTTCCAGTCAGTTTTTACCCCTCTGTGTCTTTCCCAGCTTCCAGGCTTGCTGGGGAGAGACCAGAACCCAAATCAGTGCGTGGGCTGTTTGTGCGGCTCTGTGGGTGCTTGTCCACGTTCTGCTGTAGTGGGGCCACAGCCAGTGGTGGTGCTCGCAGCTGGTTTTGGTAGCACTCGGGACCAAAGGTGGTACCCGGAAATTCCGGGGATTTGCACTGCGCTTGGCAGGATGCAAAGGCAAGCACCTTATCCCCGGAACTGTAGCTCTCCATCCCACACTTTGCAGCTTGAAATGGTTTGAAAACAGAATCGAAAGAAGGATCTATGCTCTATAGAAATTCTGCAGAATCGGAGGTCCATAACATGGATCGCAGTGCACCCACTAACTCCTTTCTGCACCATCATAACCGTGCTCTGCCAGCACCCCTTTTCTTCATGGACGGGGGTCTTTCGAGCAAAGCTTTCACCCCGACGACCTTAAAGGAGTCCATACTGCACCCAAAGAGGTGTAAAGAATGCGTTTTCAGGCAGCGAGGAGCATGCGAATGCTCTTGCCAAATGAGTTTTGTAATTCAGTGACTTTGTTTTTAGAAAGCTGGCCAGACACACCAAAAAATGGATGTATTTGATTTTACTGGCACTTCTGAGAAAGATGAAGAACCTTATGAAACATTTGGTGAGTGATTTTAAATCTTGATTCTGAAAATTTTGACATAATTTAAGCAACAACACTTAGTAATTTTAAACCTTTATTCTGAAAGTTTTGACATAATTTAAGCAATAACACTTCGACTAATCACTAACAAAAATATGTTATGAGAAATCCATTGTCTCTATGTAAATGTGATAGGAGGATTTGATGATTTGAATGAGTTTTTCTCACTTCTAAGTACATTGAAACTAAAACCCTATTAAACATGAGCAGAGCAGAACGCTTCTAGAAGCATTTCACAAGCCAGTCATTTTATTACACCTGTCCTAGCAAGAGGACTAGGAAATCTATTTTTCACTCCATATTGCCAACAGTCACTTGGTAAAGGGGCTTAAAATTTGGCAGGAGAAGAGGAATGATCTTTTCTTTTCAGAGGGGACAAGGTAGGTGACCCAGGAACCATTCTCGGTGATACTTGGTCCTGCGGTGTAAACCCGACAGTTCCATGGTTGGACCTTGCAGTGCTGGGGACCCTGAGAGCCACCACCTGTCCATGGTCAGGGGACCATACCATGCCGGGGACAGGACTCCAGGCCCAGGCATTGAGGTCTCCTCCGCCTTTAACTTCCCAGGGACAGAGACCCTTGGGGGTAACCAGTAGGTCTCTCCTGCTGCCGCCTTCCGGGAGTTGGTGGCCTCTCCTTCCCGTGCCTTTCCACCAAGCCATTCAGTTTCCTTCGCTCTTATTTTTCATCCCGGCTAGTGTTTTATACTCCCTGCTGGCTCAAGCCATGCAAGTAACGTGCGGAGAAGAGGGGTGGGGGACTGGCATCTCCCCAAAAGGCCATTCGTTCATAGATACTGAGTAGGTGTCCATCCTGCTGGCGAAACTCAGGGGGGCTGGAAAGAAGGGAGCGGCCTGCACCTGCAGCCTTCACCATGACCTGATGGGCTGGTGGCCTCCCAGGAGGGGCGCGCGGAGACTCTGAGACATCCTGCATTGAATGTCCATCTAGTTAAAAACCCGTCCTGCGGGGCTGGAGAGCCAGCTCAGCTACTGAGCGTGGGTGTCACCCTGTCCCTCCCCTGCCAGGATATTGCCTGTGGGTGCCAGCGCGCTCCTGCCACCTAGAACTGGGAAGTTGCCATGGTTTTATTGGCAGGACGGTTTAAAAATCGTGAATGTTGAGGTGTGACCTCAGAAACATTTCGGAGGATTGGGGAGATAGCGCCTCTGGCCAAGGGCACATGCCTGACGTGCGTAAGTACTCGAGGGTCTTCCCTGGCACCACATAACCCTTCCACCCCAGCCTGGGCCTCGGCAGCTAGCTGCTCCAGCTGACTGAACATTGCCAGGAGTGGTCCTCCTGAGTGCTGCTTGCGAGATAACCACCCTTCCTCCAAAAAAAAAAAGAAAGTGTGACTTGTTAGCTACTGTGTAAACCAGAAATTGCCACACACAGTTTTAAGGAAGCACTGCGCAGGGCCAGATTCTCAAGCGGACCTTCGTCTTTTACAGATCCCCCCTTGCACAGCACCGCCATCTATGCTGATGAAGAGGTGTTCTCTGCCCCATCCGGCCCTTCCTCTCCGGCAGGAAAAGAAGCAAAGAGAAGGTACGGTTCTGTCCCAAGCAACTGTCTGTTGAGTTGAGGAAACGATTGCTGAGCTCGTTCAGAAGCTTACGCAACTAAACCTGTTGGAGATCTTTCGAACCAGCTTGTGTTCCTCAAAAGCACCGGGACATGAAACCCTAGCACTGTCGCACCGTCGTCCAGTTGTTCATCGATTTGCTCGAGCAGGCACCAGTAACGGCTCCATTGTGAGACTTGTTGTTACTGTTTCTGGCATATCGAATACGTCATGGGGAGTTTTCCAGGCTTTGCTGTGCGGGCGGGATGCTCTCGGTAGCTTGCCAGGCTCTCCGAGAGGGGTGGAGGAATTGAACCCTGGTCGTCCCGGGATAAAATCCTAAATATTCAATAATAGATATTACTTACAATCACTAGTGCAGTACCTCGTTATCCCAGAAAACATGCCTGCAAGCGTAGATTTTTCTTTACAACGAGGTTAAAAGGAAAGATTTTGTGAGCATAAATTTTTAGGCAATTTTTGAGACTTGTAATTTATAAGCTCTCACATGAGACATGTTTTCTGGTACAGTGTGGGAGTAGTACACTGATGCATCAAAATGATATAAATATATATATATAAATACACATAAATATAAGTATACCAAGATGTCTCTATATATCGTATGTGTTGTCCCAGAGGATTAGTTTGAATTTTACAAATCTATGTAGGTAGGGGTCATGTCAATCGGCCAGAATTCCAGAGACAACTTGAGATTAAATGATTCCGTGAAGAGTTTTTCAGTAGCTCTGTTACTAATTGTCAGTTATTTGCTAGGGTAAGTCCCTAACCTCGATTGAACAGAAAAGTCAGCACAAGTTCTTGAACATATTCCGAAAGTGGTAAAACTGTCTACTTGAAACAAACCCTTAAGGCAGAAGTGAAAATGAAGAAGTCTCCCTGAAGTTGTATGCATGTAGGTTGGTGTTAGGTACTTGGTTATCCTAGTTTTTCTAGAAACTCTTGCTACTGAAAATAAATGGTAAAAGCCAAATATATGTTCCTAAGCATCTTGAGTTGGGTGGTGTCGTTACTCAAAGCAGAGCTACTGTCTGCTGAGTCTGGCAGGTTTATATGTGGATAGGAAAGGAGGCAGGCAGAGATGGAGATGCGGGCTGAGGGCAGCTAAGGCCACATCAGCAACATTTCCCCGAAGGTAGGGAGACGGAGGGTCCAGAATCCTCACCGGGGATGCTTGCTGCCGCCTTCCAGGGCGGTCGCTCTCTGTCTCGATGATTCTGTTCTCAGGCCTCTCCCCCACCCCCCATCACTGCCTCGTCCTCCCCTCCCCAGACTGTTCGGGGTGGCCACGCTGTTCCACAGACCTCTCCTTCCGCCTGCGTTCCCCTTCCCCTCACTGCCTGCTTTGGAAATGCTCTCCGCACTCCAGTGTCGGACCCGTGCCGCCCTTCCTGCGCCGGCAGGGCGGTCACGCCGACCACCCACAAAACAGCGCCTGCTTTAGAATGCCTGCTCACTTTTCAAGTGATCTCATTCACTGCACTCTGCGTTTTGAGGTTGGGATTTAATCAGTATTGGTTAGATTCAATAAAAGAAATCTCACTGGGGCTTTTCCCTCTCTGGAGGATAAAGGAAAGGAAAGTGTTGTATGTTTTTTGTTTGGGCCTTTTTTTTTTTATGGGTAACAGTTTAATCCTGTTTGGGCCTACACAACTATACTAACACCACTGCCCCCTCCCCCGCCCGCTGCTGCCAGTGCCCCTGATTCCCCCCCAAAATAAAACCTCCAAGGAAGAGTCTTAGCTCACCTACTGTCTGCTATTAAACTGGAGAACGAAGGAGGCCTCGTGCCCAGGTGACATGGGCTGCATGAGGCCCCCCGGACTCCGAGGAGAAACCCGTGTGGAAGGCGGAGGGGGGGGTGAACAGGGAATCCGGGCCGAGAGGCAGGCCTGCTCATGACCAGGGCAGAGTCTCATTTCCTAATGAAAGCAGCCGTATATTGTGAGTGAACAGTGAAATTGTGCAAGACACTGATGACTCGCTTCTTACTACAGTTCCAACACTTCTGAAACCGAAGCAAGTGAAAATGAGTCTCTGAAAGTGGGTGCAAAGAAAACGGTACGTTGGAGCTCCCTTTTCTAAGTACCTAAGCTGTTTTCTAACCCTACCTAGATTGGATGTAGACCAAGTGTTTGGTGGCATCCTTTCTCCTAGGGGAAATGTTTTAGAAACGGCCTTCGTTATCACGTATGATGTTTTTCATCAGAGAGTTCACAAATCCATGTATCCTGTTGGTTTTCAGTACAGCCATGCAATAGGTTTTTAAACCGGGATTTCTGAAGATCTGGGGGTTGGTTGGGAATGTCTGTTTACATCGCCTTTATCTGGGTTTCCCATCCTACCCAACAGTTAGGGGGCCGTTGGGGGGTTTTCTCCTGCTTCAGTGCCAAACGGTCAAACCCAGGGCCTCACACATGCAAGGCCTGTGCTTTCTGTAAGATAGCCATGAGTTTTGAAGTTCTAAAATGAGATGTGGGGATCTTGTTATCTGTCACACAGTAAGAACTTGGTGTAACCATGTCTTTTCTAAGCCCCGTTCGCTGTATTTTCCTAAGCTTGGTTTCTTGACATAGCCACGAAGAAAACACAAGCCAGTCATTGATAAATCGGAAAGCAGCGATGAGTTCGATGGACGAAGCCAAGTTAAGCCCGTGGAGAAAACCAATACACACCATCAAACTCCTTCAGCGAGAGCCTCTTCCAGACTTGCAGGGGCACCCGCCCAGCCGGCCACCGCTGCAGAGGAGGGGGCCCTGAGCGGCGGGTCAGCTGTGGAGCGAGAGGCCCGAGAAGGGGGAAGCCCAGCGGTAAGAGGCTCTGTCCCCAGGGAGAGGAGTAAAGGTTTGGAAACGGCTTAGGAGCAAAGTCCAGTATTTGCTCTGGTTCTTGAATTGTTTTGAAAAGATGAACTGTTTTTACTGCTGCTGCTCCAGAGGGCTGGGGGGTGGAGTTATCACTGTGTTTGAGGGGTTGAAGCCCGACCTTGCGTGGGCGCAGCGGCCTGGTGCTGAGCAGTAGTCCTGCTTTTTTCTTTACTCGTTTTAGAAGATACGGCAAGGAAGATAGAACCCACCTGCAGTTCCATTACCCAAAAAGAACCGGTATACCTTTTGGGGGGGTCTCTGTTCTTCAGTTCTTTGAACTTTTCCTCTCTTGAGCCTAACTGTTATCGCTATAATTACTAATTCCATCACACCCATTTTATTGCAAGCATGCATAGCATTTCATTTGTTGAGTGTGCCCTACTTTACTGGCACCAATGAACTGTTGCAGTGTAAAGCTATGCGTTCTTTGGTGAGTTCCTTTGCAGCTGAATCTTTGTGTACACCCCTGACCCTTTCCGCAGGAAAAAATAACTGTGATAAAATTTCTGGGTGATAGGTGTTCTTTTTCAAGATTTGTGGCATATACTAAGCTCTTACTATGTCATTTTGTCAATTTATTTTTTCATCAAAAACTCATTTCTCATGTTTGAATGAAGATTTCATCCTCATGTGTAGCAAATTAACATTCACTAACGGGCTCTGCCTCTGCCTTCCACCATGCACCTTCCACACTCGGTACACGGGGGCCTCGGACTGGCTTCTTAGCGACTCTTCCAGTTTCTTCTCCCGGTCAAACAAACATGAATTTTTTTTTTTTTTACTTCCCACTAAACTAATCCAGCTTTGCTGGATTCAATATTCATGACTGGCTCCACTCTTATTTCAGCATCTTGAATATATCTTATCATCCCCTCCTCTGAGGTTCTTGCTGAGAGCTTGCTGATAGCTGGCACTCTGGCGCTTCTCTCGTAAGTTATACTCTCCTTTCCCTTGCTGTGACCAAGGTCAGTATGACTAGGTGATCTCTCACAAAGAGCCGTTCCTCGCCACCTTGGGAGTAGCAGCGCCCCGAGACTGCGCTCCTGGGCGTGGATCTTACACCAGCCCGTGGTCTTCTTTTCACTGAGCTCTGTGGTCCTTGCCTTCTCTGCACCAGGTGTCCCCTGTGGCCCATTCTATTCTGAACCCCAAGATGTGAATAGTCTCACCTGTGCAGTACTCGGCCAGGGAGTTCGGGGAACCCCGGCATGTTCTTGTGATGCTCCCCTTGGGCAGCTTATTTCAAGTCCATGTCCAATTTCCGGCATCTTCAGCGGGAAACCGTTTCTCGCTGTGCCGCTCCAGAAGCCAGCCAGCCCCCACATGGAAGAGGGTGCCCAGGGGGTTCGCCTTTTGAGTGTCCCTCACTTCCTTATGTTAATTCACAAACTGATTTATGTCATTACTATGAACTTAGGACTAAGAGTATAAATTGAGGTCTTATAAAAAAAAAAAAACTTCCTCTGAACCCTTTAGTTCTGCCTCTGGCCTCCTGAGCAGGTCTCAGAGTGGCTGATGGCCCTTCCCTGCTAGGGTGAGCAGCTAGGCAGGGTGGCCGAGTGCTCAGGCCAGGTGATGAGGGCCTTCTCAGGCCTGGTCAGTGGTGCTAAGGGCCACCAAAGCCACGGGGCCAGGTGCTGGGGAGGGCAGAGCAGTCACGATGCTGAGATCAAATTGATGGCCTCAGATTCGAGGCATGCACTTCAGTCCCTTATGTAGTCTTCCTGGCGCCTTATTTTCCAGAAGAAGGCATTTGTCTCTAGTGAAAGATCATTGGTTTTTTGGTTTCTTTTTTGTAGGAAGTTCGGAAAAAGATGTCTCGCAGCAAAAAGAAGAAATCAAAAAATGAGGATTCAGGTACAGAATAGTTTTATACTTGGAGAAATTTCACTTCTCAAAACATTTGTTAAAGCCATAAACTGTGTCGATATTTTTTGATATGCCCTTTACTTGGGGGAGGTGGGGCTTACTGAGCAGTGGTCCCAGGACCCCAGGCCAAGCAGGCAGCCCCAGGGCAGCCCCTGCATTGCTGATTTAGGGGACGTCCCAGTCCTGTGTCTGTGTCAGGAGACTTTCCTGGAAAGAGTTTGTGTTTTATTGAGCCAAATTACTGGTAATTGGTATGAAGTGACTTACCTAAATGTCCTAGATACTGCCGACTATGCACACGCTTGGTGTCTGGAAGGACAGAGCAGGAGTGACATCACGGAGTTGGGTGTCATTTTGTCTGCCTTTGAGGACATCTGTCTGAAATATAAGTAAGTCTTCCGTGCCCCGGGCTCTTCCTAGTTTCCCAAGGGCACCATTTCTGTGGTCAGCCCACAGCTTTGGGATGTGGTATTTTCGCTGATGTTGTCTTCAGTTGTTTTGTTTTTTCCTATTTCCATGAGGATTTTTCCTTCCTCCTGTGGTCTGTTTGGCGGCACGTTTTTGTATTTTCCAAGTACATGGCTTTAAATTACACTTTTGTACGCACACTGGTCAGAGATCAGGCAGCAGAGCCTGGTGACCTTATTTTTTTTTTAATCGGAAATTATTTTTATGGCCTCACACATGAACTGTGAAGAATATTATATGTACTTGAAATCAGGGTCGTTCTTTTCTTTTTTCCCGGCAGTTCTATGAATTTGTGCTAAATATATTTAGAAACTATTTTTATTAGGGAATGGTGTTTAAAATTGTTTTGAGGGGTGGGAGGACACCGGGGAGCCTTCTGAGTGGCTCAGTATCTCTTGGCCAACAGCTCGCACTTTCTTGTCAGGGCCCGAGGACACAGTACGGCTTGGATCTGCAGTGCCACGGGCACCCCGGAGGTGCTCAGGGGATCATGTGCTGGGGATCAAACCCAGTTGTCTGCATGCAAGGCAACCCCCTGAGCCCCCGTAAATCATTTTGTCTCAGACGTTTACCACTTTATCATTTGTACATTTTATGTTATGACCCTCTCCATTCCTAAAAATACTCTTTTTCTCTTTGCCTTAAAATCTCTTTTATCGGGGCTGAAGAGATAGCACAGCGGGTAGGGCGTTTGCCTTGCACACAGCCGACCCAGGTTCGATTCCCAGCATCCCCTGAGCACCGCCAGGAGTGATTCCTGAGTGCAGAGCCAGGAGGAACCCCTGTGCATCACCGGGTGTGATCCAGAAAGCAAATAAAAATTAAAAAATCTCTTTTATCTGCGGGCTGGAGAGAGAACAGGTAGGGCCCTTGCCTAGCAGGCAGCTGTTGCTGGGTCAATCCCTGACACTGCGTACGGTTCCCCTGAATACAGCTGGGTGTGGGCCAGACACAGCATATATATATATACATATATATGTATGATTTGTATCTATAAATCCAATATTGTTTGTAATTTTCTTTCTCTTGCGACCATTTGCTAGATTTTGCCTTCCTTTCCACATGTACACTTTGTCTGACCTTAAATTTTAATCTTTCTTGTAAAATCTTAAAACTCCAAACTATCAGTCTTTGAGTTTCAACTGTTAAATTTAGTTCACTTATATGTATGAGTCAATGTCTGATATCATGTAAACTTTCCACTCTGATGACTTGGTATTCTTGATAGTTCCTCCTTTTCCCCTATACCAAACTCCATCATCGCTTACTACTTCAAGTGTTCTCCTTTCATCTACTTTTTTTGCGTGTACATATATGTATGGACTGGAGCGACAGCACAACGGGTAGGGTGTTTGCCTTGCATGCAGCCGATCCAAGGACCCGGGTTTGATTCCTCCACCCCTCTCGGAGAGCCCAGCAAGCTACCAAGAGTATCCTGCCCGCACGGCAGAGCCTGGCAAGCTCCCTGTGACATATTCAATATGCCAAAAACAGTAACAAGTCTCACTATGGAGACGTTACTGGTGCCTGCTCGAGCAAATCGATGAACAACAGGACGACAGTGCAGACAGTACATATATATGTATATGTGTATGTACATATATATATATACACTTACGTATATAATGATTTTCACTTTATAACACTATAGTTGCAGGAGTGTACTGTCACACCTCTGGGTGTAGCGGGCTCACGGCGCCCCCTCAAAAGCTCCAGTGCCCCTCTATCAGCAAGGCAGACGCCTGTTCCACTCACCCGCTCCTTCTTGTTAATAAGCAGCGCCTTTCACCTATCTGTCTAAGCACTCACACTTTGTCTATTAACGTCCATCTCAGTGCTGATTTTACCGCGTTCATTGTTTTTTTGGCATTACTGTTTTGTTTTCATCATTTGAGCATTCATAATTTCCTTATGATTTCATTTCACTGCTTATTCAGAAGTGTTAGCTTCCAAACACTGGTGAATTTTCCAGCTTTCCCTTTTACTGTTAACTCAGCTTCATTCCATTGTGCTCAGAAAAGACGCTTAATAGGACTTACCTCATTAAAACTTTTGACGCCGGAGAGATAACAGAGCAGAGGTCAAGTGCTCGCCTTACACGCGGCCGACCAGGGTTCGATCCTGGCATTCCATATGTCAATCACAACTTCTTTGGGAAGCAGACAGGAAATGGCTCAGTGGCTGACTCAGGAGGCCATGAGCTGAACCCCTGGGACTGCACTGTCCTGTGATTCCCAGAGCCACAATGTGTGGCCCCTGGTGAGCACCACAACCATGTTGTGTGAATGTGAGCACCCCAAGAAGTGTGTAACCCAGATATCACAACAAAGGTAAAGGGCAAAATTAAAGCATCCTTTTAACTAGAAGGAATCCTAAGTGAGTCTCTCTGTTGGGGCAAATCCCTGAGGGAGGCCCCCACCCCACCCCCAGTGAAGGGGACCAGGTGCAGGCTCTAATTCTCACCAGTGTAGCTAACCCAAGAGGGAGCTTGTACTCTGAGCAGAGATCTTTCCCCAAGACCGCATCAAAAAATGGTAACAAGCTTTTCTAGACATCAGCAAATCTTGTTCCCCAGACAGAAGAGCAATGAGGAAACAAGACACGAGTGACACAGTAGCCGAATTGGCCCCAATAAGCATACACGGTGCTCCACCCAGGGGAGACATCAAGGGCACACAGGCCCGACAGGCACAGGGCCGCTTCCTGGCACTGCTGGGCCTTAGAAAAAGCTCAGGGTGGAGCCACTGGGAGGTTACAAACACTCCACCCACCAAAAACAAACTTGCAATGTATAAGACTCTCTTCTAGGATTGATCATACTACGGAACAAAAAGTTTGTTTTGTTTTGGGGACACACCTGGGAGTGCTCAGAGGTAACTCCTGCTCTCAGGGATCGATCGTTCCTGGAGAGCTTGGGGACCATATGGGAAGCCGGGGATCAAACTTGGGTTGTCCAGTGGTGAATGAAGTCAGCATACGTTTAGGGGGAAATGTTTCTTTTATTAAAACACTCCCATTTTTTTTTAAAGTCCTAGAAAGCAGAACAAGCTAATCACTGCCAGCTTAAATGTTCCCATGGTGGGCTGGAGAGATAGCACAGCGGGTAGGGCGTTTGCCTTGCACATGGCCAACCCGGGTTTGACTCCCAGCATCCCAAATGGTCCCCTGAGCACCGCCAGGAGTAACTCCTGAGTGCAGAGCCAGGAGTAAAACCCTGTGCATCGCCAGGTATGACCCAAAAAGCAAAAAAAAAAAAAAAGTTCCCATGGTAAGGGCCAGAGTAGGGCGGGCCTTGCACACCGCCAACCCAGGTAGATCCCCCGGCACCTCATATGGTCCCCTGAGTACCGCCAGGAGTGATTCCTGAGTGCAGAGCATTACTACGTGTGGCCCCAGAGCAAAAGCAAAATGTTCAAATGGTATATCCCAGATTGTGATTCGTTGGTGTGCAAAACAAATGAAACACACCTTTTCAAATCTTTTCTAGGATAGCTCGCTTAATCTTTTTTTCTTTTTACTCCCCTAATAGAAAAAATCTAGAATCTAAAATTTTTAAGGAAACCATCAGTAAATTCCATTCACATGTAAAAGAAGAGCTCATCAAAATGGTAAGTTCATTGACGTGCATTTGTTAGTCTAAAATTTTACTAATCTTGAGGCCGGTCCCGGTCACGGTCCTCCCGTTGTTCATCAGTTAGCTCGAGCGGGCCCAGTAACGTCTCCATCATGATACTTGTTACTCTGTTTGGCATATCGAATACGTCACGGGGAGCTTGCCAGGCTCTGCCGAGCGGGCGAGATACTCTCGGCAGCTTGCCGGGCTCTCCGAGAGGGGCGGAGGAATCGAACTTGGGTCGGCCATGTTGGCTGCTTGTAAGGCAAACGCCCTACCACTGTTCCGTCGCTCCAGCCGGTACAGCATTTGCCTTGTACGGAGCCGACCCGGGTTCGATTCCCAGCATCCCATATGGTCCCCCGAGCACCACCATGAGTAATTCCTGAGTGCATGAGCCAGGAGTAACCCCTGTGCAATGCCGGGTGTGACCCAAAAGCAAAAAAAAGAAAAAGAGAGAAAAAATCTTGAGGCATCAGTTTTAAAAAGCTTCCATTTAGGGCAGAGAGATAGTATGTATAGTGGGCAGAGCACGTGTTTTGTAGGTAGCTGACCAGGGTTCGATCCCTGGCACCCAACACGGTCCCCCTAGCTCACCAGGAATAATCCCCAAGCACTGCCAGGTGTGGCCCCAGAAACTAAAAGCTTGCATTTACTGGCAGTTTGATAAATAAGAACTACCTGTTTCACTTGCTGTTTTTAAACTGTGATATTAAATATTTAATTTTAGTAAATAACAGTACTTTCGTTTTGTTTTGTGTAGCTTAAAGAAGCTCAGAAGGGGAAAACTCTGAAAAGAAAGAATGCTAAGGTAAATCACTGTGTGCTTGTCTTGGAGAACCTCAGCATGCAGAGTTAAGTAGGGGCTGAGAGCCTAGGTTTTGTGCACATCAGGGTTTGTGAAAGATTTTTAGTGCTGTTGAATGTCAGCTTAAAGATGGGAACTAGCTGCCTGTTTGTTTTTATAATCCAAGACAATAAAATCAAGCCCTTTTATTTATATATATATATATATTTTTTTTTTTTTTTTTTTTTTTTTGGCTCACGCCTGGCGATGCTCAGGGGTTACTCCTGGCTCTGCACTCAGGAATTACCCCGGTGGTGCTCAGGTGCTCAGGGGATCATATGGAATGCTAGGAATCAAACCCGGGTCGGCCGTGTACAAGGCAAACTCCCTACCCACTGTGCTATCACTCCAGCCCCAAGCACACCCTTTTAAAATCCCAGTATTGGCTTATGATTGTTTATCAAGTTTTAAATAATCACATGAGGAAGTATTAAAAAATATTATCATTTTTATGGATGTCAAAATGCAAAACCTTAGAAGAATTGGCCCAGTTCAAGAAGGCAGCCTTGGATTACCAGGTCATTTCTTTACCGCTTCTGCTAGACAGGGTTACAGCACCTTGAAAAATCATGTAAGGCAGAAAGGAGAAATCAGCAAATCCACAGCCCTGCCTTCATTTTGCATCTGGTTGGAAAAAATGGCCTTTGAAGTTCTAACTCTGGCCCTGGATAAATCCAAGTGGAAGCTGGCCCACAATATTTATACTAGAAATGTATTAAATGTACATATTTTCGTTCCAGGATTTACAAGCCTTTGGTTTGATTTAATATCTTCATTACGTGTAAACAGTTATACACTTGCATTACATGTAAACACATAGGAACTGTCTGAACATCCAACAATGTGGTACCAGGTAGTCACTAAAAGTGATGGCTGAGATCTAATATGTAGGATTGAAGTACACCTTTTTAAAGTAAAAACTGGACTGTGACACTTCCAGCTTTGGAATTTTCCTAGTGCAGGAAGATAAGCATAACTCCTTACTATATAATTAAGGGTAGTTAAGGTCTGGCCTCCACTTGCACTTCTTCAGAGTCATCTCTGCTACTTTTCAGTTTCCTTTTCCCCCAACATTAGCATTTAGCATGAGTACTGGCCGAATGTAATCTGTCTTCCCTATTAAACCCAGGGTGCATTGTGATAAGAATTGGTTGTCTCATTTCCTGTTGCATTTCCAATACTTAATACAGTGTGCTACTCCTCAAACATTTGCTAAATTAATGTGAAAATAATCCTGCCTTTAGATTATTTCAGATATCGAAAAGAAAAGACAGCGTTTGATTGAAGTCCAGGATGAACTGCTTCGGTAAGATATCAAAATCCTCTCTGAGAATTTACCTAGAATCTCATTACAGTGTGTCATGGAGGTTTAGGAAACTTGCTACTGGGGGTGGGGCACATGATTTGCACATAGCTTACCCAGGTTCAGTTCCCCACACTGCGAAGTTCCTGAGCCCGAAGTAGCCTCCGGGCCCTGCTTTATGTGGTCCCAAAACAAGACTTGCTGCTGTGTTGAACTGAAATGCCAGATTTGGGGCTAGGGCGATAGCATAGAGGATATGCCAACCCAGGTTTGGTCTCTGGCGTCCTTTATAGTCCCCTGAACACTATCAGGAATGATTCCTGAGGGCTGAGCCAAGAGTTACCCCTAAGCAACACAGAATGTAGCCCCCAAACAAACAAAACCCGAGTTATCTTTGCTCAGTGGAAGCAGGTTATGGTGCTGAGTTAGAAACTTTAAGCAAAAGGAGAATTGTTTTTTATCTTTAAATAAAAGTTGATTTTTTTTTAAATTTTATTAGTGAAATACCATGAGGTACAGTTGTAGACTTACGCATTTTTGTGCTTGGGTTTCACTTATACAATGATTGAGTACCCATCCCTCCACCAGTGCCCATTATCCATCACCACTGATCCCAGTAGCCCTCCTCTCCCCCCCTCACCCCCCAACTCTGTGACAGGGCATTCACTTTTGCTCTCTTTCCTTTAGGGTGTTGTAGTTTGCAATAGAGGTACTGAGTAGCCATCGTGTTCGGTCTGTAGTCTACTTTCACCATGCATCTCACATCCCGAGCAAGTCCTCCAAACATCCTTTACTTGGTGTTCCCTTCTCTATCTGAGCTGCCTTTTCCCCCGGCATGTGCTGCTGGCTCCCAAGCCATGGAGCAGACCTCCTGGTACTTATCTCAACTATTCTTGGGTGTTCCTCCCATTCTGTTACTTTATATTCCCCAGATGAGTGCAGCCTTTCTATGTCTGTCACTCTCTTTCTGACTCGTTTCACTTAGCATGATACTTTCCATGTAGAACCACTTGTATGTAAATTTCATGACTTCATTTTTTTCTAACAGCTGCATAGTACTCCATTATGTAGAGGTAGTTTTTTTAACCCATCATCTGTTCTCAGGTACTCGGATTTTTCCCTAGATTTTGGCTATTGTGAACAGTGCAGCAATGAATATAGAAATGCAGATGTCATTTCGACTGTACTTTTTTGCCTCTCTGGGATATAGTCCCAGGAGTGGTATTGCTGGGTCAAATGGGAGCTCAGTTTCTAATTTATTGAGAATTGTCCATACTGTTTTCCAAAAGGGCTGAACCAGTCAGCATTCCCACCAGCAGTGAAGAAGGGCTCCTTTCTCGCCACCTCCACGCCAACACCGGTTGCTTTTGTTCTTTTGGATGTGGGCCAGTCTCTGTGCTGTGAGATAATATCTCATTGTTGGTTTGATAAAATTTGATAAAAAAAATAATAAAAAGGTTATAGTTTCCAAGAACCTATGGATGCTGTTAAGTAAAGACTTGATTCTTAAATTGTACTGTAGAACCTTGAGAGGTGTAAAAAGGGTAAATCACAGCCTGGCTCTGCTGCTTTGACCTTCAGAATATTTGCATACTCAGGCTCATTCACTATTAAGCTATTACCTTATGCTATTTTTTGTTTCAGTTTAGAACCACAGCTGAAACAACTACAAACAAAATATGATGAACTTCAGGAGAGAAAAGCCGCCCTTAGTAATGCAGTATATTTCTTATCTAATTTAAAACATATTCATGATTATTCGGATTTTCAAGAGAAAAGAAATAACATGAAGAAAACGGTAACTTCCATTTTTTGCTTTTTTACTGTGCTTCAGAAGATAGCAGAGTTGCTTCCTAGAATACCAGAAGCTTTGAGGAATAATCAGATGCAGCATTTCAGAATATATCTAGGAGATATGACAATAAATCAGTGAAAATGTGTTAGATCGTCCCTTTTTAACTACTTAAGGTTCTCTCTCTAAGAAGACTGAATTTCAAGGGAAATGTACTCTCAAACAGATTTTAAGTGAACTATGCTTATTTTATTGAAACTCCTGATGATCCAGACATATTTTAAAGACCAAACTCTTTAAAATGGATTCACCCCAAATCCATAGTATATTTTGTATCTGAAAAAAATTTTTTTTTATAAATTGAATATATAAAAAGGACATTAGAGGGAATATGCTAGACATTTTATTTTTATACAGTTTATAATTTTTGTAGCATCTTGCTATTGTTATAAATAGCTCAGACTTAGAAACGTTATGGGAAAATTATGTAACACGTATAAATTACAATCTCTTGACCTAGGAATTGTTTGCATTAGATATAACAGTTAACCCAGCTCTCCTAAAGTTTGTTTCAAGCGAGATTCGGTCACTCTCCCTTGTTTGGAATATATATTCTTACTGACATCTTGAGCTTGGCATCCTTTGGGGGTTTTGTACTCTTAACAGAAACCTAGCCCCAGACCTTTGTTCTTCCTCTCCTTGGAAGCAGATATCCACAGGAGCTGAAATACATTAGCCACTCAAATATTAAATTGAATTCCCTAGCAATACACGGTGGTAGTTTTCTGCTCAAATTTTATTACTAAGAAAATCACCTTGAAAAACTAAACTCCACTAAAACATTCATGGATTGGGGGCCAAGCGACAGCATAGCAGATACCCCACTAGCCCCCACCAGGAATGAGGAGTGTAGCCTGATAATTAGAATCATGAACTGGATCTGTTCACTTTCAGTGGACCCAAGTAGATTTTTCTGGTTCGTGCCTTTCTTATGGGGCCTATCTGTTCTTGAATTCTTTGATGTTTAAAACAAGACATGAGAGCAGACCCCAAACCTGTCCCTGGAATAATTTTTGATTCAAAACAATTCTGATGCCGCAGCTGAACCACTGCTCTGGAATAAGAGGAGAGCAGCCTTACACTATGATTTGACAGTGTCCTAAGGAAAGGGACTCTACCAATTATCTTAAGTAACCCTAGTTTGAAAAGTGAAGAGTAGCTAATGGAAAGCTCTATAAACATTTGCACTGATATTTAGATTAATAGGCATTTTCCTTCAACAGTATGACTCATCCAGCCTTCCTGCTCTGCTATTTAAGGCAAGAACTCTTTGGAGAGCTGAAACCCATCTGCAGAGTATCAACCGTCAACTAGAGACGCTCCTTGACCAGGGACAAGCTTCTAAAGATTAGTCTCATGCTACTGTTACATTCTAAAATGGTATCTTTGTTCCTTGGGGAGATAGAAAATGGTTTAAATTAAATGCTAGGAGCAAGTTTAGCATCTGTTTGACTGTGCAGTTGTTATTGTGATGACAGTTAACTCCAGATGTTTAAGCTGAAGTGATGACTACGCCAAAGTCAATTTTCAATAAATATGGTTTAATAAATTAATATTACATGGGGTTTTTTCCAGTTAATTAGCTACTCTTGTAATAGTTCATCTTTACTCATGACAGCTTCCATAATTAGCTCATCAGGAATTTCATCCTCTACACTATTATGACTGAGAAGACTGACCTCTACAGCCTCAGCTAATTCAACATCTTCAGTAGCTTCCAAAAAATAAGCTTCATCCACACCATTGTCCCAGTCAGCATCAGAAGATGCACCTTTTGACAGTTCATGCAGGTTTCTGGTTTCATTGTTCACAGCAGCTTCCGTGGTAAAGTCCTCTTCCTTTAGGAGAAAATGCACATACTCAGAATATGTGATGATTTTATCATCGACTCAATCTCATGTGGGATTAACGTTTTATAAGACAAGTTCATTAGGTATTAACATAAATGTGCTCGAAGTCTTTAGTAGACTCTCTGGGAATGGTTTAACTCAAATGTAGTTGCCAATGTAGTTCAGACACTCTTGGAACTCCCTGTTGTACATTATTACCAATATGCAACTAGTTCAAGAATATCGGAGGGAAAGAATGAGTTTTAAGGGGAATGACAAAGGAGATGGGGTTTCTGGGCAACAAAGAAAAATTGTGGTTTGGCTGTCTGATAAATACCTACAAAATTTCAAATGCATGTATACCCTTGACAGTTCTACCAACAGAGAGAGTTGTTTAAAGAAACGATGTTTAAGGAAACATTAAATTAGTACACAAAGAAAAAATTCTCTGAGACTCTTTAAAAGTCTAAGTGAATTTGGTTAAACAGATATTCACATAACATTAGGTATGTGCTGAAGCAGGATAGAGCTACACTAGATTTCTTTGATTTCTTTGTGGATACAAAGTGGCCAAACTGACTAAAACCTGTTGGGGCCAGTCTGTGGACCAGTATGCAGGACAGGTGCCAATCTTCAGATATAAATGACTGAAGGGTGAGAGAGTGCAGAGATTAAGGCGCTTGCCCTGGATGGGGCCCCCAAACAGAAGGAATATGTGAAGAATCCTGGTGTAAGTCTGAGGCACATGCCTGGGAGGTGTCTAGCCCTCATTGGTCTTCAGCAACACATGGGAATCACTGACAGCTCATTTATTAAAGGACTATTAAAGGACTAAGCAGTAATAAGAAAAACTGACCTCTTTGAAAAGAAACAGGAGAGAAACTTCAGCAGGAATTGGAAAACCTGAGTCAGAAACACAATAAAGCAATTTCATACAATATACAACAAATATACAAATATCTAATATTTTGCTTTATGATAAATACAAAAATAACTCACACTTAGATTTGAAGTTTTCTGCTTTGCATATAGGGTCATGACATTTTTGATACCAAACTTCATTTTTCAGATCAACCAAAATCCTGATGTTAAAAAAAAATTGTTATACCCAGGCGATAGAAAACAAAATTATGCTATCTACAAGGAATATGTTTGAAATGGAAAAAAAATCAGTTAAAGGAGGAAAATATATACATAGCAGTTCAAAACCATTTTAACAAAAATTTCTCCAAGACACATAATTCTTCATCTGTAACTATCAAGATAGCTTCAAAACATGCAAAACTGGCAAACTTTCAAAAATTATCGTAAATTATTAAACATTTTAATAATCGAGACAAAGATCACAAATTTGGTAAAGAAATTAGCTGTTTTATAAGCTGATAATTGGTATGTATAGTAAGAAATAATTAGAAGCAGCTCTTTACATATAAAATACATAAGCTGCAAGCTTTAATGTGAATCATCAAGTTTATAATTATGCTGTACAATTTACACAACACACTGGTTATAAAATGTTTCAAAATAAAAATACAGCTAATAGAAACCCAAATCACAATATTACAAACATTTCTAAACCAATGGAAACCAAGGAAAAACCATACAAATTAGAACTAAGATGGAAATTAAATATCAAAATGTTTAATACATATGTTAACAGCTAACTTGATCTTTAGAGGGACAGGTAGAATCTTACAAACATAAAAGAACTGACAAAAGAATTCTGAACAAATAAGTTCAGAAAACAAAAACTAATGAATGTAATGGACAAAAGCTTAAAAGAGACAACTTTTTTATTTTATTTTATTTTTATTATTTTTGCTTTTTGGGTCACACCTGGCGATGCACAGGGGTTACTCCTGGCTCTGCACTCAGGAGTTACTCCTGGCGGTGTTCAGGGGACTATATGGGATGCTGGGAATTGAACCCGGGTCGGCCGCATGCAAGGCAAATGCCCTATCCGCTGTGCTATCTCTCCAGCCCCGAGACAAAACTTTTAAAATGTAAAGTCTAGAGAACCTTAAAACTTCTACCAAGAAAACTCCTAGAAACAATAGACTTGTATAGTAAAGTTGCAGGCTATAAAATCAATACGCAAAAGTCCATGGCTTTCCTATATGCAAATAATGAGAGAGAAGAAAGTGACAGGAAGAAAACAATTCCGTTCACAATCGTGCCCCAGAAAATCAAGTACCTAGGAATCAGCTTAACTAAGGACGTAAAAGACCTGTACAAAGAAAACTACAAAATGCTACTTCAGAAAATAAAAAAGGACACGAGGAAATGGAAAGATATCCCCTGCACATGGATGGGGAGAATTAACATTGTCAAAATGGCAATACTCCACAAAGCACTGTACAAATTCAATGGGATCCCTATAACAATACCCATGACATTCTTCAAAGAAATGAAGCAAACACTCCTGAAATTCATATGGAAAAATAAGCCCCTACAAAAAAGAAAACGGGAGGAATCAACCTCCCCAACCTCAATTTCTACTACAAAGCAGTAATAATTAAAACAGCATGGTACTGGAACAAAGGCAGAGCTGCAGACCAATGAAACAGGGTTGAATATACTGACACCTCTCCCCCAAAATATATGATCATCTAATCTTTGATAAGGGAGCAAGAAATGTGAAGTGGAGCAAGGAAAGCCTCTTTTAAGAAATTGTGCTGGCAAAACTGGACAGCTACATGCAAAAAAGTGGGCTCAGATCTCTACCTAACACCATGTACAAAAGTAAGATCAAAATGAATTAAAGACCTCAACATCAGACCGGAATCCATAAGGTACACTGAAGACAAGATTGGCAAAACCCTTCACGACACTGAAGCTAACAATATCTTCAAACATGACATGTCACTGGTCAAGTAAAAAGAGAGATAGACAAATGGAACTATCTTAAACTAAGAAGCTTCTGCACCTCAAAAGAAAGTAACCAAAATACAAAGACAGTCTACAGAATGGGAAAGGATATTCGCTCAATAATCATCTGATAAGGGGTTGATATCAAGGATATACAAAGCACTGGTTGAACTCCACAAGAAGAAAACATCCATCAAAAAATGGTGTGATGACATTTGACCCAGCAATACCACCCAGAGAGGCAAAAATGTATAGTCGAAGTGACATCTGCACTTGTTTGTTCATTGCAGCACTCTTTACAGTAGCCAGAAACTGGAAGAAACCTGAATGCCCAAGAACTGATGACTGGTTTAAGAAACTTTGGTACATCTACACAATGGAGTACTATGTAGCTGTTAGAAAAGATGAAGTCATGAAATTTACATACAAGTGGTACTACATGGAAAGTATCATGTTAAGCGAAATGAGTCAGAAAGAGCGGGATAGACACAGAAAGATTGCATTCATCTGGGGAACATAAAGCAACAAAATGGGAGACTAACACCCAGGAGCGGCCGAGATTAGTACCAGGAATTTTGCTCCATGACCTGGAGGCCAGCCACACGTGCTAGGGGAAAGGGAAGCTCAGACAGAGAAGGGAGCACCAAATAAAGGGTGTTGGGAGGATCCTCCCAGGGTGGGAGAAGCATGCTGAAAGTAGACTATAGACCTAACATGACTGCCATTCAATGCCTCTCTTGCAAACCACAAGACCCAAAAGGAGAGAGAGCGAGAGGAAAAAAAGGGAATGCCCAGCCACAGAGGCAGGGAGGGATGGGGGGATGGGGGGTGGGAGGGATGCTAGGACCCGTGGTGGTGGAGGATGGGCGCTAGTGGAGGGATGGGTACTTGATCATTGTATAACTGAAACCCAAGCACAAAAATTTGTAAGTCTATAACTGTACCTCATGGTATTTCACTAATAAAAAATAAATATAATAAAAGAAGTTCCACAAGAAAATGGGGTGATGAAATGAACAGAAACTTTCTCAAAGAAGAAATCCGAATGGCAAAAAGGCACATGAGAAAATGCTCTACATCACTAATCATCAGGGAGATGCAGATCAGAACAAAACTGAGGTATCATCTCACACCACAGAGACTGGCCCACATCCAAAAGAACAAAAGTAACTGGTGTTGGCATGGATGTGGCGAGAAAGGAAACTTCCTTCACTGCTGGTGGGAATGCTGACTGGTTCAGCCCTTTTGGAAAACAGTATGGACAATTCTCAAAAAATTAGAAATTGAGCTCCCATTTGACCCAGCTATACCACTCCTGGGACTATATCCCAGAGAGGCAAAAAAGTACAGTCGAAATAACATCTGTACTTCTATGTTCACTTGCTGCACTGTTTACAATAGCCAAAATTTTGAAAAAACCTGAGTGCCCGAGAACAGATGACTGGTTAAAAAAACTTTGGTACATCTACACAATGGAGTACTATGCAGCTGTTAGAAAAAAATGAAGTCATGAAATTTACATACAAGTGGTTCTACATGGAAAGTATCATGCTAAGTGAAATGAGTCAGAAAGAGAGTGACAGACATAGAAAGGCTGCACTCATCTGGGGAATATAAAGTAACAGAATGGGAGTCGAACACCCAAGAGTAGTTGAGATAAGTACCAGGAGGTCTGCTCCATGGCTTGGAAGCCGGCAGCACATGCTGGGGGAAAACGCAGCTCAGATAGAGAAAGGAATACCAAGTAAAGGATGTTTGGAGGACTTGCTCAGGATGTGAGATTCGTGGTGAAAGTAGACTACAGACCGAACACGATGGCTACTCAGTACCTCTATTGCAAACTACAACACCCTAAAGGAAAGAGAGCAAAAGTGAATGCCCTGTCACAGAGTTGGGGGGTGAGGGGGGAGAGGAGGGCTACTGGGATCAGTGGTGGTGGAGAATGGGCACTGGTGGAGGGATGGGTACTCGATCATTGTATAACTGAAAACCAAGCAAAAAGTTTGTAATTCTACAACTGTGCCTCATGGTGTTTCACTAATAAAATAATAATAAAATAAAATGTAAAGTCTAAAGAATTCTTGCAAGATAAAAATGTTATTTATATGTCATTAAAGACAAAGTGAAGATTTAACTTCAAATATAGCACTAACCAAAAATTCAGGATTACAAACTTTTAGTAAAATAGAAAAGTGCTAAATAAGAATGTACCAAATTAGGCAAGTTTTAAAAGTTATAGAAGGGGCCAGAGCTAGTGCCGCCAGTTATACAACTGGCCTTGTACGTGGCCCACCCAGGGAGCCTGGTACCGCATACAGTCCACTGAGAGTAGAGCCAGGAGTAAGCCCTGAGCACTACCAGATGTGGCCCAAAATCCAAAACAAAAAAAAATTAAGATAAGGTACAAAAGACCTTAACAATCCTATAAACACTAAGAAATATTGCTACAATTCCCTTGCTGTACAGTAGCGTGTGCTTCTAGAAATTGTAGGCTGTTTGAATCTTTCTAGGGAGACACTGGTACTAAACATTTGTCATGCGCCCCACAGACCTCTAGCTTACAGTTCATGGTTTAATTCTAAGTAGCCCTTTATCTGCTTCAGTGACAGCCTATCTTTGCAGAACTGGGTTTTAGGTGGTTTTGATAAAATGGACCAGGAACATCAATGTGAATGAGACATGACGGGACCATGTCCATCCTGATGCCAAAGTTTCAGAGGCTGGGCAAGCTCAGGTCACATCCATTTAAGTAATTATATTTAAGAAAAAGCAGAAGGGGGTGGGGAGATATTTCAGCAGTTAGGGCACAGCCGGGATTTGATACCTGGCACCACATGGCACCACATTGCCAGGGTGGCCCTTGAGGCCCCCAGAACACCGGGTGGCCTCATGGCCCATGGCTCTGCACCCTTGAGCCCAGCATTCAACTGGACAGAGGAGCCCCCAGGCTATGTGAGCACCACTTGGGGCCCCCATGCAAAACTGGATGAGATTAAAATACTTAATCTTCAACATGTATCCAAAGTACTATGCTTTGAGAACGTACACTTACTGTTTAAAGCTAGTGAGTAGAAAAGGGATACACACACTCAACAGTTAATCTGGTGGCTGGGCTCCGTGTTAAGAGTGCTTGGCTTCAGATGTATCAGACCCTGGTTTGATCACCAGCATCGAAACCAAAACATAAATTCTCAAACAAGCCAGAGAGATAGAACAGAGCATAGAGTGCTTGCCTTGCAAATGGCCAGGCCAGGTTTGAGCCCTGGCATCACACAAGTCGCCCTGAGTGCCACCAGCGAGGACCCAACAATCCAAAACAAAACAAGCCACAAAGCTTCAGGAGGTTTGAGAATTTCTGAACAGTGGTATTCACTGAGGGTCCACCTACATCTGTAGAATTCAGATTTGCAGACTCCGAGTTTCTGCAAGTGGAACTAAACCTGTCTGGCTGAGGGAGGCCTGGCATCCTGGCAGTGCCTCACATCTCAGCAACTATGCAGGAAGCTGATTTCACAGGCTTGGGCCACCCTGCTGCGTGGTGACTGTGCACCTGAGAACGATGAAGAAGGATCCAGAAGGCTGTGACAGGTGTCAAGGGCCTTGCTTCCATGGAACTTTGTATGCCTTGTGTCTAAAATGACTGGCAAGCTTGACACTGGGAAAGTCTCTCATTTGCATACTTCGACAAGCATATCTTCAAATAAATCCATAATCAGGGAGATTCCAGTGAAAATCACAACATTATTTTGTACCTGCTAGATCAGCAAAACATGATTAAAACTTCCCAACAGCCAAGTGCTCATGCTGTCTCTGGAGTGCATGGAACAGCAGATGTCTCAAAATGTTGCTGATGGGACTTTTATAATTAGCCTATGTGAGAAATGTCTAGTAAAATTAGAGGTGCGTGTTCTTTGACATAGGTACAAATATGCTAGCACATATTTCCTAGTGCACAGAAACTCTTGTACTCTAGGAAATCATGTACAAGTACGATTGTAGCTCGATCATAGCCAGTGTCCACTGTAGAATATCAAACAGGTAAATGGCAAAGACTGCATATTACAATGTAAAATTTAAAAATAGCTACACGTGTAATATGAAAGAATCCTATACAGTGGACCAAAAAAGTAACTCAAAAGCTTAAAAAAATATGTAAAATAAAGCTTCAGGAATATAAATATGTGTAAATGTATGTGGAGGGAGGCGAAAGAAGAAATATGAAATCTAGTTCAATGGGCTGGAGCGATAGCACAGCGGCAGGGCGTTTGCCTGGCACGCAGCCAATATGGCCGACCCGAGTTCGATTCCTCCGCCCCTCTCGGAGAGCCCGGCAAGCTACCGAGAGTATTCGATATGCCAGACACAGTAACAACAAAGTCTCCAATGGAGACGTTACTGGGCCCGCTCGAGCAAATCGACGAACAACGGGAGGACAGTGACAGTGACAGTTCGATAGTTGCTTTCCCAGGACCAGAGGAGAGGAAGGAACTGGAGTTATGCCACAGGAAACTTCTAACATTCAGTCAACTTTTTTTTTTTTTGATTTTTTTTTTTTGGGGGGGGTTGGGGGGTCACACCCGGCGATGCTCAGGGGTTACTCCTGGCTCATGCACTCAGGAATTACTCCTGCCGGTTCTCGAGGGACCATAAGGGATGCTGGGAATCAAACCCGGGTTGGCCGTGTGCAAGGCAAACGTCCTACCCGCTGTGCTATCACTCCAGCCCCCATTCGGTCAACTTGTGAAATTTGTTTGTGTTTTTCTGCTCTTCGGCCACACCCAAGAGATGCTGAAGGCTTTCTCCCGGCTGTGCTCAAGGACTGCTCCTGGCAGGGCTCAGCAGACCAAATGGGGCGCTGGAAACTGAACCTGGGTCAGCTGCATGCAAGAGAAGCACCTTGCCCCCAGACCCAACTTCTAAAGTTTACTGACCTGAAAGATCATACATAACGGTGGTCTTTTTAGTGTTTATAGTCTTTAAAATGTGTACACACAGGGCTGGAGAGATAGGATAGTGGCTAAGGCAATTGCCTTGCACACAGCTGAAATTTGATCCCTGGCATCACATGTACCCCCTAAGCCCCTCAAGGATCACTCCTGAGTACCTCTGAGTGTGGCCCAAAAAAAAAAATTTTTTTTAATTAAAATTATGTGTACATACACATTTTTAAATGATGCACCAAGGTCACAGTTTTCACTGGTTCTCGGATTGTGCGTTATCTTTTCCTTTATGTTTTTCTGTTACAGTTATGTGTACTGACCATAAAGTTTTTGAAGTTCTTTTTGACTGAATTCTTTTACCAAAAAAAGTATAGCCACCCAACATGTTTCCCCACTTTACAGCAAAAACACAGTAATTTTTTTTATGTCTGACACATGTGCTAAATATGATGAATATTAAGAACTCTCAAATTTAGGTCTGACACTCAACTAAAGCAAAACAAAACTTCCAGCATAACTGGTAACTATTGGGTTTCTATTCAACCCTAAACAAATCCCTTAAGTGGGGGAGCTGTGGGGGGCGGAGGGGGGTTGTGGACATGCTCCAGGGTGATTCCTGCCAGTGTTCAAGGGACCGTATGTGCACATGGTGTCAGGGTCGTAGCTGGTCAAACCAGGGTCATAGCATTTGCCTTATTTCCTGTACTCTCTCAAACTCCTATTCCTTTATTTTTTTCCTTTATTTTTTAAGTTCTGTTTACAATTTTACTTCATCCTTTCCTTTTGCCAGGGGCACTTTTTTTAATCACTGTCTTGTTAGGGGCCACCCCTGACAGTTCTCCATGCCACCCCCAATCAGGAGCCTCAAAAGCCACTCCCATAGTGCTCTGAGGACCACGAAATACTGGAGATCAAACCCAGGATTCCCACATACAAAGGATGTGCTCCAGACCTTTGAGCCGGGCCATGAAGGTACTGGCAGAGGGACAAAGCCACGCGAGTTCCGGGGCCGAGATCTCCAAGCCTACACGGATTGGGGCCGAGCATCCTCCATCCAGATCCTCCAAATTCTAGTAGGCGGGGGTCACACCCACCAACTGGCCCCCTGGTGCCGTGTAATCCCATCAGCGGCCAAGACTCAGAGACTATAAAAACCAGCTCCCGGAACTGTGCGGCTGCGCGACATCTTATTATGACATCTTATTATCTCATTCCTATTTTGGACAAACTTGCAGGCTATCGAATGTAGCCTGCCCACATGGCAGTGTCTGGCAAACTCCCCGTGGGGTACCCAATATGCCAAATACCAGTAACAATGATGGGTCTCATTCTCCTAAAGAGCCTTGAATATAATCTCAGGGCTAGGATGAAAGAGACCTTACTGGGGCCTGCTCGAGGCAATCGACGAATAACAGGATGATTTGTGATTTGTGATTTATTCAGATCACATGTAGTGTTAAGAGCCAATGGCAGTAGGTGAAGGACAGACAAATCTGTTCATCCTTCACCTGTCTCCTGACTCTCACTTCCCTGGCGCCTTTCAAACCTACTTCATCTCGATTATACTAGCAAGGGATCACCTTATCAAATAAAACATAAATCCACCTCTGCTAGAAGCAAGGTAATAATATATTCAAACAAAACCAATAAACTAGGTATTAACTGAATTATAAATAAACCTATTATAATCATTTTTATATTCTCAACTTTATTTAAAAAACTATTAACACTTAAAATATGTTGGTTAAGCATGCAAATTTGTTAATAAACATTACTTACATGATATTATTGCTTTTGTGGGCTCTGCCAATGTTTTCACACCAACGGTATTTACAAATATCATAAACCAATAATTCTTCTGGGAAGAAGTAGTTCCAACGCCGAATTCCTAAAAGGCAAACAGTGTTTCCAATGTACTATTACCTAACCTAATGTATCTATTATCTAACAAGTAGAAAAGGATTATCTTTACCTCCTTTAATGCCATTTTTAGTAACCAAAGAAAGAACAAATTGATCAACTTCAGGGTAGGGTGAACACTGAAAACCTTCAATAGTTTCCACTGCAAAAGAGGAAAATTAGGTTAAAAGCTGAGTTAAATTCTGACTTAAATTTTTGTTTTGTATTTTCGCCACACCTGGCGGTGCTCAGGACTTCCTTCTGGCTCTGCACTCTGGGATCACTCCCTGACAGGGTTCAGGGAATGATATAGGGTGCCAGAAATCAAACAAGCCCCCTACCCACTGTACTATCACTCTAGCCCCTGAGTTAAATTTTGGTTTAGTGCAATTCTAGGTTCTGCAACAACTTTTCTTTTCTTTTTCTGGTAATTTGCCCTCTAGATTCTTGTTACCACACAGGGAAGCAGATCAAATGCATACCCCAATGAAGCTAAATGTTAACAGATTTTCATAAAAAGCATTTCCAATCATTTCTGTTTCCTTCCATCTCCATCTCAGAGAAAAGCAGACTTTAATCCAGGATCCGGTCTGGCTCAACAAGGCCTTGATGTTGGTGCAGCAGCACAACTCAGCCCTGGTGCTGGGTTCATCGTAAACTATTTCTCAAAACTTCAGTGTCAGATTAGGCCACTCTGACCCCATGGCTCAAGAGCCAAACAAGACCACTCTGTAACCCCATCTGAACGCAGACAAAATCTGTCTATTCACCAAACCACAGAAAAAACCCAAAACCCAAAAAACGCCGCCCTCGATGTTTCCTACTGCTCCTGTAGAACTGACCCTGGCTATTCCCAAATAAAAATCTAAGCTACTCCTCAGAAGCCCCAGCCCAAATCTGAAACCATTAAGGGGTCCCTTCAAACAGCCTTCGAGGCACCCCCCGGTTCCTGGGGGACATAACCCCGTAATGGCCCCCAGATCTGACCCATCCTCCCCACAAGCATATCCTTCCTGGGTCTCCAGCTGGACAGTACTGACAAGCCAATGACATTGGGTATCCAGAGTTTGTAAAAGTTTAGAATAATTTTAATGTTATTTGATATTTAATGATAATCCAGTCTCACAGTAACACATATTCACTTATAACCAGAGAAGTTTTGGAAAAAACATTAAGTAGAAATGAAATACAAAGTGATGCCTAAAATAACTGTTCAACCAGAAGATAATAAACTTCAGAAAATCTTATACATGCCTTTTAATAAACGTGTGATCAAACTGCACATATAATTTGAGTCTAGTTTTTCTCTAGACATAAGTTGGGCACTTTCCATATTGGACTTGTAAAAAAATCCAAATTTTGGGGCTGGAGCTATAGCACAGCGGGTAGGGTATTTGCCTTGCATGCGGCCAACCCGGGTTCGATTCCCAGCATCCCATATGGTCCCCTGAGCACCACCAGGAGTAATTCCTGAGTGCAGAGCCAGAAGCAACCCCTGTGCATCGCCAGATGTGACCCAAAAAAAATTCAAATTTAGGAAAAATAAAAATGGAACTTTTATATAAGCCAGTAACACCAGGGTCAGGCATTTGTCCAATGAAGATAAAAACACTGATTTGAAAGTCTACTATTCCCATCTTTTTGTTTACTGCTGCATTATTCACAACAGCCAAAAATGGGATTTACTAGATAAAGTAAACTTTCAACTAGATAAAGCAGCTGTGGTTTATCTAGTATTCAATAGAATACTACTCTGCTATTAAAAATTATAAAATTATGCCTATTGGGAAAAAATGGATGGAACTTGAAGTAATTCTGCTAAGTGAAACAAGGATGTGAAAGAAAGTTGCCAGAGTGCTTCACTTAGATACTATTAATTACTAAAGCAAACCAAAAGGCAAGAAACAACTAGACTCTGAAAATTCTGGTGGCTACCAGAAGAAAGGGGGGGTAGGCTGAAGAAGTAAGAAAGCCCTGGAACTCTGAGACTACAAAGCAATGATAAATCAATAAAAAAAATTTGCAGCGTTTTTCAAATAATTTACTTGTATATGTAATCTTATAAAATGGACTATCTCCAAAGAGTGTTTTTATGTTAATGGCTATGAGTAATGTTTAGTGTGGGCTGGGGCAATAGCACAGTGGGTAGGGCGTTCGCGTTGCACGTGGCCGACAGGGCCAACCAGGGTTCAATTCCTCTGCCCCTCTCAGAGAGCCCAGCAAGCTACTAAGAGTATCTTGTCCACACGGCAAAGTCTGGCAAGCTCCCCGTGACATATCTGATATGCCAAACACAGTAACAAGTCTCACAATAGAGAAGTTACTGGTCCCGCTAGAGCAAACTGATGAACAATGGGAAGACAGTGACAGTGAATGGGGGTGGGGGGGATATTGGGGTTTTTGGTGGTGGAAAATGTGCACTGGTGAAGGGTCAGGTGTTTCATCATTGTATGACCGAAACTTAAACCGAAAACTTTGTAACTGCTCTCACAGTGTTTCAATAAAAAAATTTAAAAATGAATAAAATAAAATAAAAATTACATTTCTTACACAGGGCCAGAGAGATATGCAGTAGATAGGGTGCTTGCCCCTCACACAGCTGACCCGGATTCGATCCCACGCACCACATATGGTGCCTCAAGCCCCACCAGGAATGATGCTTGAGCACAGAGCCAGGAGCAAGCCCTGAGCACAGCTGGGTGTTGGCCCCCACAAAAAAAAAAAAAAGGAAATAAAGATCCTTAAGGCAAAACAGATTAGGTTTTACACCCTTCCATTTTCCTAAGAAATTGTTTTTTTAAATTACCTGAAGTGCTGGCACCACTAAAACACTCCACTCCTTTTTGTTTATTCTGACATGATGCTTCACATGTAAGAATTCGTAAAGTATCTGAGAATCTGAAAAGAACATGCACAAAAAGTAGCGTATTAGAATTAAAGCATGGCTACAGAAAGGAAACTGAAATTCAAACAGTTCCAAGTAGGTTATTCAACAGCTAATTGTTGCCAGATATTTAGACGCTATTTGCATATAAACACCAACCTATCCACGTGAGAAAGAAGGAGAAGGGGAGCAGGTCCAGCTGGGGAGATAGCTCAGAGTAGAACACAGGTTTCCCACACAGGCAGCCCTTGGTTCAGTCCCCAGCACCAAAAATCATAGCAAAACTAAAAAGTAGGCTCATAACTATCTAAAACACTGTCCTCAACTATAGAGAAATACAGAGGATCTTAGAACTGATGCTGCAGAGTAGAATTTAATTAAATTTCCCAGACACTGCATTAGAAATATTACAAAATGATTTTAAACTGTGATTAAAGAAGGGATCGGAGGGTAAAAACAAAGGTAACAGTGGATTAGAATAAACTGGAAATTAGATTCTTAATCACTAGGAATTCAGTCTTTATTCAAGAAAGAAAATATGTCGATACAGAAGACAACAAAGTAACCATTTCTAGTGGAAGAACTCTCTATTACTATGAAATTACTAATAAAACTACAAAAGAAATTGATTTTAACAAGCAGGAGACCCAAGTATGCAAGACAAGTGCCCTACCCACTGTACTCTCTCTGCAGCCCCTACAGTAATTATTTTAAATATTAAATTGATTTCTGTGAAATTTCTTCTTAAACTGTACAGAGGGAAGGCAAGGGAAGTAACCTAGCAAGATAACTCAGTCTGACCAAAAATTGCCGGCCAAAGATGAGGAGGAATGGAGGTTCACAGAGAGCTTTCACTCTTCTAAGAATGACTGAAACATAAGTTCCTAAATGTTCACCAGACAGACAACAAAGTGTGTCAATAAAATGGGAAATCTGACAGGCACTACATATGGTATACAAATTTATATAATCATATATACTTTATATTAAATATATAATTTTTATAATTAACATGGGCTGGAGCGATAGCACAGCGGTAAGGCGTTCGCCTTACAAGCGGCCAACATGGCCAACCCAAGTTCGATTCCTCCGCCCCTCTCGGAGAGCCCGGCAAGCTACCGAGAGTATTCGATATGCCAGACACAGTAACAACAAAGTCTCCAATGGAGACGTTACTGGGCCCGCTCGAGCAAATCGATGATCAATGGGAGGGCCTTTACTTACTTTACTATAATTAACAATTGGCACATAATTGACTTGGCAATATTAATAATGTAATATTGTTAGATGAAAGGTAACATAACCTAAAATTATGATTTCAAAAAATATTTTTGCATGAAGCAGTTTACATAAATTTCAAATATAAAAGGAAATGAGATATCAATAACAATTATATTTTCACTGTCACTGTCCTCCCATTGTTCATCGATTTGCTCGAGCAGGCCTAGTAACGTCTCCATTGTGAGACTTTGCTGTTACTGTGTTTGGCACATCAAATACGTCATGGGTTGCTTGCCAGGCTCTGCCATGCGGGCAAGATACTCTCGGTAGCTTGCTGGGCTCTCCGAGAGGGGCGAAAGAATCGAACCTGGGTCGGCCAGGTTGGTCGTGTACAAGGCAAATGCCTTACCCACTGTGCTATCGCTCCAGTCCATTATATTTCCAAGAGGAATATAAAAATGTATCATTCTCATAAAAATGTTTGAAAATATGTTAACTATATTAAGTGGAGGTTCCAAGGAGCGGAGCACAAGCCTGGCATGTTCAAGCACCTGAATCTGATATCCCAAACACCACGGAAGTGGCCCTGGAAACCCAGAACCATTTTGCCAGACCCATCAGGTCCAACCCAGGGAGCCTAGTTTCACTGGGAAGGGCCCCTGAGCAATCTCCCATCCATGTAGTTCTTACTGAAAAATGATGATGATGATGATGAAAGGACAGGAAGAAAGACATGGTTAGAAAACAACTTCTAGGGGCTGGAGAGATAGCACAGCGGGTAGGGCATTTGCCTTGCACGCGGCCGACCCGGGTTCGATTCCCAGCATCCCATATGGCCCCCTGAGCACCGCCAGGAGTAACTCCTGAGTGCAGAGCCAGGAGTAACCCCTGCACATCGCCAGGTGTGACCCAAAAAGCAAAAGAAAGAAAATAACTTCTACCGGGGCTGGAGATATTACAGCAGACAGGGCACTTGCCTTGCACACAGCCAGGGTCGCTCCTTTCCCTGTATGATCCCAGAGCCCCGCCAAGAACACAACCAAGAGCAATCCCTGTGCACTGCTGGGTGTGGCTCCCCAATCAACAAGTAATTAACTTAATATTTTTCATGAGGGAAAGCACAGTTCACCTATAACCTTGAGGATGCTTTTTATTTTGGAGTGTGGGGGTTGAGGCCACACATGACCATGCTCAGGAGGTCACTCCTGGACCACATGCAGGGGTCTGCTGGAACATACCCCTGGACCATATGCAGGGGTATACTGGGGTGTGCTGGACCATATGCATGACAGAGATTGAACTGGGCTCGGCGGCATGCATGGCAAGGACCTTACCTGCGATACTAAGTCTTCATCCCAAGGATATGCTTTTTCTCAAGGAATGATTTATACACTCACATTTAGAACAATACAATGTCATTCAAATGCTTCATAAATATGCGTGAATGCACAGTGGCTTGATTCTGATACCTGACATTGCTGACCAATGAGGAGAGGAAATACTGATTTTCATCAGAAACATTTTTCAGTTGTCCAGGAAAAAATTTGTTATCTTCAGCGATTTCCAAAGCCGCTTGTTTTCCTATTTTTGATGACTTGTAGAGTCGAAAGTTTCTATTTCTTGTATAAACCCCTGCACCAAAAACCAATAAAAATATGAGTGCATCTTTTTGGTGATTAGCCTTATAATAAGCCAATAGTAAATTTTTGCCTTATGTGATACACGATTATTTTCTATATATAGCTATAAATAAAAGCAACACGTAAAATGAAATTGCCATGGAGGAATGCTATATCCAAAAATAGCAAACTAAATTATTTTGGAACAAACAAACTTTCCTTTAAAAAGAGAAGTGGGCGCATATGCTGCCTGAGCCCTTGTGCTGCTTGTGCCCACGTGGCTGAGCACGTGTGGGCTGAGCACATGTGTCGCCCGCATCTCCCCTCTTGAGATGTGTACTTTCAAGCTTTTCTGTCTAATGCTTGGATCTGTGCAGGGGCTCTCTCTCTGCCCTTGGAGAAGCCCGTGTTCTCTCTTGAGTATGTTACTCTCTCACTCTCTTCCTCTCCAAAACCTCCAAATAAAATCTATTTATTTCAATAAATAAATAAATAAAATAAAGAGAAGTGGGTTTAGTTCCATACACGGCACTAAGAAGGGACTAAAGCAATAGTAGCAGGCAGGGTGTTTGCCTTACCAAGTGGTGGACCTGGTTTCGATCCTCAGCACCCCATATGGTCCCATGAGCCTGCCAGGAGCGATCACTGAGCACAGGGCCAGGAGTAAGCCCTGAGTACTGCCAGTTTGGCACCAAAACCAATAGCAAAGTTGAGGGGCCAGGGTGATAGTATAGCAGTGGATAGGGCTCCTGTCTTGCATGCAGCCAACCTGGGTGCCATGCCCAGTGCCATACATGGTCCCCCGAGCCCTACAGGGAGTGAGCCCTGCAGTCAGAGCCAGGAGTAAGCCTTGAGCACTGCCGTGTATGGAACAAAACCAAAAATAAAAAAATAGAAAAGTTGGAAGAAAAAAAAAAAAGCAGGGGGCTGGGGAGGCAGAAATTCGGTACAGGAGTTTTGCATGGGGTAAACCCTAGTTCACTCATCACCACCATGGCTTACTCCTGGCTCTGTGCTCAGGGATTACACCTGACAGTGCTCATGGGAAAATAAAGGGTCGGGGATCGAGCCCTACCCACTGTACTATCTCTCCATCCCCTTCCCTGGTTTATTACATGCCACTCCAACTAGGAAAGACTATTCTGCTTACAAAAACCTTCTGATTAAAAAAAAAAAACTTCTGAAGAATGCCCTGCTACTCACAGCTCTCCTAAGTGTTCATACTCAAACCAATATACTCGCTTATCTATTTTAATTCCAAGTTCTAAAACTGGGTTGTCAGGATGCTAGAAAGACACTCAGGAGAGCAGCATCCCTTCCTGACTCCTGGCCTGGTCTACACTTTGAACCTCACTCCCTGCCCCTTGAGCTATCAAATCTCTCAGAGCTGCTGAGTTCGCAAGCGCGGCTCCGCGGGGCCCGGAGACAGCCTTATCTAGGGAGTTCTCCAGATCTCTGCGGGGAAACCTGGTTATTTCCTGGCTCTGAAGCTCATGATGGCCTTCGGTTAGAGACTTCACTGACTCAGGGGAGCACTGGGGGTGGCAAGAACCCTATCAACAGTGATGAGTCAGAGTGCTGGCTGATCAGTCACAGCAGCACACAAGGATGGTCTAGTAGAGAGCAGAAAATGCTACTGACCCAGATCGACAAAAAGATGCTTTTCTCCAGTGTCACTCTTCACAACTAAAAAGGAAAGGTCACGGTCGCTTTGCTCTGCCGACCCCAGCCTCTCCGGCTTCTCTGAATTCAGGGTACAGCCCTTTCCTCTCTCCTGATCTGGGGAAGAAAGTCCGTGCTTAACTGGTGGCTCAGAAAACTGGACACATCCATGGCCTGCTGTCTCTTGAGTTCTATCATCATCTTCACTGGCAATTAACCGAAAAGCAGGCTGCAAAATTTTTCTCACGAAATTTCCTAGGGAAAGAAAATATAATTTACCAATTCTCCTTCTCCATGAGAAGATCTCCCTAAGATCTAGGCACAAGTCTACACGTGACAATTCTACACAGAAAGGCTACTTTTGTTTTTAATTTCCAGTTTGAAAACTCATTAAAAATTGCAGCATGCCTCCTCTGCTTCTTCCTCCCCCTGTGCAATTCTATACGTTTTTCGATTCCATTGCCGCAGGAACTTCGCATTCCTTGTAAACATGGAAATTTTAGAAGGAAATGTAGTTTCGGAAAACATGTCAGTTTGCCAGTAGGGGCCTAAACCTAATGTGTCACCCAAAAAACACCACTTTCATTAATGCAAACTGAATAGCATCTTTCTCCACAATCATTAAAGCGAGGGAGATAGTATAGTGAGTAAGGCGTTTGCCCTGCACGCATCCAACCCAGGATCAATCCCCAGCGTTGTATATGAATCCCTGAGCATGCCTGGGTGTGGCCCAAACCCCTACTTCAAATTATAAAAAGAAAATCTAATAAATTAAAAGTCACTACACAAAACCACCACCACCAAAAAAAAAAAAATCTGCTCTACTATCTTCTGCATGCAATGCTGGCAAATTTCTCAACAGCTAACTTGCCCTCGTTTGCTACCATGTACCTTAAGAACCCGAACATCTGGGATCAGGGAGATGCCCAAAGGGTCAGGTACACGCTTTGCGTACAGGAATCTTGGAATCAATCCCTGCTACTACGTAGTTCACAAGCCTTGCCAGGCGAGGCCCCTCAACAAAACAAAAGACCTTGACAGTCACAGTCCTCCATTCCTGGGCCCAACCTCTGCCTCTCTCTATAACTCATCACAGACCAGTCATTATTATGGCCTCATAACTAAGGTTCACACTGAAGCAACTAAGTACACAAACTGAATTTCAACATTTTTCCTAGTGCCTAAATATTCGAAGTTCTATCTTTACCAAGAAAAGTTGTTAAAACATGGACTGGAGAGACAGTATAATGGCTAAGGAGCTTTCCTCTAATGTGGCTGACCCAGGTTCAGGCCCCAGGACCCCATATGGTCCCCCCCCCCCCCACACACACACAGGTTCTGCCACAAGTGACAGTGGAGCAGACAGCCAGGAGTAAAACCTGGACAGCATCAGCTGTAGGACCACCCCTCTCCCCAAAAAAGAAAAGTTGTCAAAGCAATCTGGAACATCTTGAAACTTTCATAACTATTTATACCATGAAATCAAGTAATATTTTGGCTAGGTTGTATCATATAGAAAAATACTAAGACATGCAATACTGAGAAATTTCAATCTCTAAAACTATTATAGTCTACATTTCTCACTGTATTTACAAGACAGATTAAGCCCTAAATTTATGATATATATACTCTAAATTCAAAATTCTTTTTACCTAAAGCCAAGTGGCTGATTACAAAAAAAAAAAATTCTGGCGCTGGAGCAATAGTACAGTGGATAGGGACTTGCCTTACAAGGGGCCAACTTGGGTTCGATCTCCAGCACCTCGTGTAGTCCCCCAAGCTAATAAGAAGTGAGTACAGAGCCAAGAGTAACCCCTGAGTACAGTGATGTGAGCCAAAATCCTAAAAAGGTTCCTTTGCATATGCAAATGAAAGAAAAAAAATAAGAAAGTAATCTAAAGCATTTCTATTCTATCCAAATAAGCTTAATGAAGGTTGCAAAAGACAGCTTTAATGAAAATTACACAGTACTGTTAAAAGACTCAGAAAAAGACATTAAAGGGTAGAAAAAACAAGGCCAGAGAGAGTACAGCAGGTAGGGTGCTTGCGTGGCATGTGTCCACCAAGCCTCGATTCCCATAGCACATAGGTCCCCCAGCCCCTCCAAGGTTGATCCTTGACACAGAGTCTGGTGCAATCCCTGAACACTGCCAGTGTGGCCCAAAAAACTCAAAAAAGAAGAATTTTTTAAAAGGCAGAAGAACAATCCATTATATGGATGGGAGAATTAATATAGCCAAAATGTCCATTTTTTCTAAAAGGAATATATTGATTTATGCAATTTGAAGGAAAATTCCAACATAATTTTAAAAAGAAATAGAACAGAAGTTTACATGAAATCGCCAAAAAAATTATGAATAGCTATGGTAATACTGAGAGATAAGAAGGAGAATGGAGGCATCATATCACTAACATCAAACTATCCTACAAAACAACACTAATTAAAACTACAGTATTGGAATAAAACTAGACATATGGGCCAATGGCAGAAAATTAAAAAGCCAGGGGGAAAAAAATCACCATTTAATTTATGTCAAAGAATCTAAATATCATGTTAAGTGAAATGAGTCAGAGAGGGCCAGGCAAAGAAAGACTGCACTCATCTGTGGAATATAAAGTAACAGCATATAAACTTAACACCCAGGAGTAGTAGAGAGAAGGACCAGGAGTCTGCTCCAGGGCTTGGAAACCGGCCTCACATGCTGGGGGAAAAGGCAGCTCAGGTAGAGAAGGGAGCACCAAGCAAAGGATGTAGGTAGGACCCGTTCGGGTTGAAAGATGCATGCCGAAAGTAGACTCTAGACCAAACACGACAGCCGCTCAATACCTCTATTGTAAACCACAACACCCAAAAGGAGAGAGAATAAAAGGGCTGTCGCTGAGGCGGGGTGGCGGGGTGGGGTGGTGGGGTGGTGGGGGACGGGGGTGGCGGGAGGGATGCTGGGAACATCGGTGGGGGAGAATAGGGACTGGTGAAGGGAGGTGGAAACGATCGCTGTTTGACTGCAATGCAAACATGAAAGTTTGTAAGTCTGTAACTGTACCCCACGGTGATTCACTAATAAAAATAAGTAAATAAATAAATCTAACTGACTTAGATCTGTCTTCAAAAAATGTCACAGATATTGGAAAGATGAATTGAATCTGTAGAATGTTTGGGCTTTCTTCTGATGTAAACATATTAAAGATTATAAAAATTTAAAAAAAAAAAGAAAGAAAGAATCTAAGACTCTCCTTCAATACATGGTGCTAGGAAAACCAGGTTGCCACATACAAAAAAATGTAAAACTCAAGTATTCTGTAACTCCAGTCACAGGGTCAGAGAGATTGACAGGGGTTCAAGTGCTTGCCTTGTATATACAAATCCTGGATCAATTTCCAGCATCACATAGTTTCCCAAGCATTACAGGGAGTGACATCCGAGAGCCACCTGTTATGGCCCAAAACAAAATAGAAGATGATCCCGTTTTACAAAAATCAGTTCAAATGGGGACCAGAAAGATAGTAGAGGAGGTAAAGCAGTTTCTTCGCATGTAGCGGATCTACATTCAATCCCCAGCATCGTGATGGTTTGGGGAGCACCAGCAGGAATGATCCCCTGAGCACACCTGGGCTCGGCCCCAAAACAAAACAAAAGGTTTATAAATTCAAAATGGGATAAAGACTTAGAGTTAAGACCCAAAGCTATAAAGCACACGGAACACACAGGTTAAATAAATATTCCCTGACAGTAGCATAGGAGATGTTTTGAAAGATTTAAGTGTTAGAGCAAGTGTAATTAACTATGAGTGCTATTTTCGAACTATTGTTAGAAGTACATTAAACTGAAAAACTTTTTGGGGGGGTTGGGCCAAACCCAGCAATGATGATCAGGTTTACTCCTGGCACTGTACTCAGCACTCAGGGACCCATATGCAGAGCTGGGAACTGATTAAATCAGACACATACAAGACAAATGCCTTAACCCCTGTACTATCTCTCCAGTTCTAAACTGAAAAATCTTATACAGTAAAAAATATATATAACAGAATAAAAAGACTTCTAAGTGGGAGAATATAGTTGTACACCATCTAATGGAGGTTAACACCCATAGTATGTAAAAAAAATCACGCAACAACAAAAACAAAAGCAACGCTACATAGGGAAAAATTTCAAAATACAATTCTCTTAAGCAGACAGGGAGCCAGAGAGAAAGTATACAGGTGAAGGCAATCACCTTGACTGCAACCAACGGCAGTTCGATCCCGAGCCCTGCATATGGGCCCCTCTGCACAGAGCCAGCAGGAAGCCCTGAGAACAGCTTGGGTGTGTCCTAAAAAACAATAAATAAAAACCAAGAGAACATACAGACATCTGACAGATGTATGAGAAATCCTCAGCACCACTGATGACCCCAGAAACGTAAACTGAGACCACGAGATGCCACCTCACCCCCGTGAGAATGGCTTACATCAGAAGTACCACTACAACACCCTGAGTTCAATCCCTGGACACCTCAATGTGTCCCTGGTGGTCCCCCAGCACCACCACGCCTGAGCAGCACCTGAAGGCAGGGTCCACGCACCAAAGTGTCAGACAGCCAAGAATCACCAGGAATGGTGGCTCCCAGGCGCCCAGACCACTGGGGAACCCTCCCCTCCCAAGAAACAAAGGGCAAGCCACTGTATTATAAAACACTAAACATCGCAGTGAAAGTAAAAGCAAAAGTTCTTGTAATGATAAGCAGACCCAATTAGCTTCTGAAGGAAGGAGCTACGGTAAATAATGAACTGAAGAAGTGATAAATCATCAAAAGACAGTAAAGCATTACAAACAAAAACTGAAGATGTTAGTGCACTGGCAATGTGAAACCGCATCTCTGTGGCACTCAGCAGCAAGAGAGTGACACATGGCTGCAGAGCTAGAAGCGTGAGGCCTCTGACCTGTGGCAGGAAGTAGCCTGGTGGAGAGAAACAGTATAATCAGGGAGATGACTAGCTCAAGGGCTCGGCAAACTATTCTGCTGTTCACTTGCTGCCCCTCTCAGGACTCACTTCCTCGTGAGTACAAGGAGTATTTTATCGGATGGGAATAACTCAAAAGAACCAATCACAGGAATTTTAGGGAGTGGGTAAGGCAAGTTGGCCGGAGAGTATTTTGAGACAGATCAAATGTGTCCATTTCAGTAACTGTATACAATTCACTCTAATGCCCCCTACTGAGAGGCTGACAATAAGAACTAGAAAATTCCAACGAGTAGGGTGCTTGCTTTGCATATGACTGCCAATCCTCAGAACCCCTGAGCACAGTCAAGAGCTCCAAGCTCCGCCAGGTCTGGTCCCAAATGTGTTCCCAAGTGATGCGGCAGAGGGAATAGCCTAGTGGTTGAGAACATCTGCACTGCCAGAGGAAGGTCGCAAGCACGACCTGAGCTGCCAACCATGACCCTGGCGACATCACTGTGTAGTTCTGGCACTGGTGGGACCCCAGCATTACAAGCCATTTCATACTGCAACCAGTATGCACGAAGAGCACACGGAGGCGTGTGGCCCTGGTGAGCACTTCTGAAGGTTGTGGAAGCACCATGGCCACGGCAGGGGACCCCTGAGAGCACACATGTGATTAGCATGACTAAAGGGTACAGTCCTGAACAATCACAGCTGAAATGTGCAGGTACCCCAAGCATGTGAAACCCCAGACTTCACAACAATAAAAGAAGTAAAATTAATAAAACAGAAATTTAAGCATTGATGGAAAGGTAAAAGTAAAGGCCCTCCCGTTGATCGTCGATTTGCTCGAGCGGGCCCAGTAACGTCTCCATTGGAGACTTTGTTGTTACTGTGTCTGGCATATCCAATACTCTCGGTAGCTTGCCGGGCTCTCCGAAAGGGGCGGAGGAATCGAACTCGGGTCGCCCATGTTGGCCGCTTGTAAGGCGAACGCCCTACCCGCTGTGCTATCTAAAAGAAATTTGATCTATTTGCTAATCCTGCATCCTTGAGTCCACCATAACCATGATTTTAGAGAAAGGAGCCTCAAACTTTCAAGCCCAGGTAACAGGTTTGATCATGTCACTCACCCCGGCCACGGCAGTCTTCGCACTGCTCACTAAACTTGCCACAAACTCATCTCCCCTATTTTTGGGGGGTGGGCAAAAAAAATAGGTTTGGGGCCACACCCAGTGGTGCTCAAGGACCACTCCTCTCCCGGTGCTCAGGAGTGACCCCTTGGAAGCAGGGACCGTACCAGAGCTAGAGAAGAAACAGGGCTCAGCTGCATGCGAGGCCAGCACCAAGCCTCCTGTACTCTCACCAACTGTCCCCAAATGCGTCTTTATGCTGCTCTAACCGTAATGCCTTTTTCACCCGATCTTTATGATGGAACGTGATTAAATGCCATCCGCTCTCAAAAGACGTCTACAGCAGAAAACGCCAAATCTCTCTTCTTCCTTGGCAACAAATCTCAACTGGGGGCCTTGTTGCTAAGAGCTGCGGAGAAGACTAAGGGACTGCACAGGAATCAAAGTGATGCCTGCCCAGGACTCTGCCCCCACATCTCGGCAGCTGCGTCCACTCAATAACCATTCCGTCAGTAGGTGTTTACTACAGGCCTGATTGCATCTATTACTGCTCCCGCTGCACAGTCTTATTGCTAAAGATGGCGTTACCTGCTAAGCTTGGGAAATACCATAGCAAGACACAGGGCCTGCTCCAAAGAAACACTGAGTGGAACAGAGAAGACCAAAACACAGGAAATCAGTACCGGAAGTGGTGAACATTTGACCACAGGCCTGGGCATTTTGTAATCCAGGGGAAACACTAGCCTAACCATTAGGGTTCTGTATGTGACACAACAGAAGTAATTTCCCACATAACATGAGCTACACCAAGTCTATCTCAGCATATCAGACAAACAGATATTTCTCTTCAGCCTGCAGCAGCATCAAAAAGTACAAAGACCCAGAGACTGTCTCTAACGTGTATCTGGGGGTGGGGCGGAGGGGAATGGGGGCTGGGAGTAGAGTTTGGGAGGTCCACACCATGCAGTGCACAAGGGCTACTCCTTGCTCTGCACTTAAGGAATTTCTTCAGTAATGGCAGGGGGTCATTTGGAATGCCGAGGATCGAGTCGGGTTCACTGTGTGCCAGGCAAGCACCTTACCCACTGTCCTCTCTCTCCAGCCCTTGTCTCCAATGTGAAGGGCTGAGACATGAATGATGAGGAATGAGCACAGTGGGTCTGCTTGTAAGTTAGGACACCTGCACTTCTTCCTGAAGGCGATGGACATTCCTTGAGAGGTCCGTACCAGTGGTATAATCAGACCACACAAGCCGGGAGGGAGAGTCAAAGATGACATTAAAACCTCCCTGAATGGGTAGGAATTCCACCCACTAATCTACACACACGACTAGAGAAGAAGGTTTGGAGGGAGGATGAGGAATTACAGCGTATGAGTCACAGAATTCGAAATGATCGTGGAATGTTTGCTAGGCAGTGATTACATGGGTCTGGGCTGGGAAATCAAAGTCATCAAGACAGAGAAAACTGAAGCCATGCGAGTGGGTGATCACCAAGGTGACAGAGGCCAGGATATATCCCACAATTCCCAGCAACTCAGGAAGAAGGAAGGTCCAATGAAGCCAGAGAGCAGACGTGAGAGTGTCAACACGCCCAGCCGTTTAAGCCGGTGCAACCCCGCGCCCCCGTCACTCAGCGCCAGATTCTGACTTTCTCACCTGTGCTTCAGTGACCATGTCCCTGAAGTGCCCTTGAAACTGTCCAACAGCCATGGTTCAGAAATGGGTGACCTGAGTGTCAGACATTTGTCTATTCGGATGGAGGAAATACTTGCCCTCCCCACACTTGGATGAGCACCAGCAGTTGGGTTTCTACTTGGCACTTGGTTGGGGGTTTCCACTCTGCTACTTGCTTCCCCTTCCAAGAGACTGCATCTTAACTCCCAGAACAAAGACTCTGGAGGAACTCTCCAGCTTATACTCCCAAACGCCACGGCCTGGACGCTCAGCCTAGAACAATAAACAAGTCTTGTATGTGGTCTGGAACCCAAGTGCCAGTCCTCACGCGCCGAAAGCGAAACTATCCAGATCTGAGACTTCACGGTTAAGACTCACACAGGCATTTCCTAAATTAGTTCAAGAGCTTCTGAAAGGACTGTTGCAGTAGAAACCATGCTCACGACACCCATGGACATCCCAACACACCGCAAGAGGCACTGACCCAAGGGTGACCTGAGGAGGTTAAGCTATACGGACGGTGACTGGTCTATAGCTAAGAGCAAATCCTGAAAACGTGAAAAATGCTTTTTTTAGGTTTTGGATTAACAACAAGTTTTAGGTATAACCTGATAACTTTGGTGTATTCTCTGCTGCCTACATCACAACTGACAATGTGTAGTATCTCTCTTACACTTTTCTAAGTAAAACTATTTTACTTTAATAAAATTATTTTACTTTACATACAAATAAAACCTGATAAATGCAATTTTTTTACAGAAAAGGAAAATAAGCTTAGAATATAGTCCATTAACTTTTTTTTTTTTTTTGCCTTTTGGGTCACACCCAGCAACTCACAGGGGTTACTCCTGGCTCTGCACTCAGGAGTCACCTCTGGCAGTGCTCGGGGGACCATATGGGATGCTGGGAATTGAACCCGGGTCCAGCGTGTGCAAGGCAAACGCCCTACTCGCTGTGCTATCACTCCAGCCCCTCCCATTAATTTTTTAAAAAGTAATGTACTTACCTACATGGATATTATCTTTAAATGCCACATTATGGAGCTGAAATATTAAATGGCGGCTAAATTTTTCATCAGTGCTAGAATCCAAATTGCAAACATCTGCTGCTGAACAATTAACTCTGTATAACTCTTGAAGCGCTTTACAAACATGCTAAAAACACAAGTAAAATGTAAATACAAATTTTGTTTTAAATTTTCCTGAGAAAAATTTTAATATCTTTGTATAAGTCTAAATCATTTTTATTTTTATTTGCTATAAGATTACATAAGAAGTCTGCAAATTACTTACATATCGAGTAGGTTATCACATTTAAATGAGGACGTGTTGTCTTTAAAAAGAAAAAACATTATTGGCTCTCAGGATAAAGGCTCCTCGGAAGTGAAACAATTTACCTTATAAATCAATCTCTAAAATCACAATACATTTTTGTAAAACTCTTCCAAGTATCACCTACGAGTTAAAAGATTCACTGATTCCATTTTTTATACTTTTACTTACTAAAAGTTCCTTATGCGTACTAAACACAAATCTACCTCCAGAAAATCTGCAAGGCTAGATGACACTGCTATTGAAATAGTTATGCAAACACAGGCTTCAGAGCACAAGATTAGGAGTCCAAAAGTTCCAGGTTTGGGTCAAAGAGAGAGAACAAAGGGTAAGGCGCCTGCCTGGCACAGAGCCAACTCAGGTTTGGTCCCCGGCATCACATGTGCTTCCCCAAGCCCTGCCAGGAGCAGATCCTGAGAACAGAGCCAGGAGTGACTCCTGAGCCAGGATCCAAAAGAATGAGAGGGGAAAAAAACGTCCTAGGTTTAAATTCTGCTTTGCCATTTGTTGGCTCTAACCTTTGGTCAAATCCAAATGCTGACATTCCATTGCTGGCATTCAAAAACAGAAATAATAAATGAGCCTACAATGGGGGCGGGGGTTTACAAAGAATAAATAAGGGGCTGGAGCAACAGCACAGCGGGGAGGGCGTTTGCCTTGCATGCGGCCGACCCGGGTTCGATCCCCAGCATCCCATATGGTCCCCCGAGCACCGCCAGGAGTGATTCCTGAGTGCAGAGCCAGGAGTAACCCCTGAGCATAGGCTGGGTGTGACCCAAAGAGAAAAAAGAAAAAGAAAAGAAAAAAAGAATAATTAAGAAAAAAGTCATTAGCACAGAAACCGAAACATGTACTTGCTTAAAAGCGCTAGCCATTCAAATGACAAGTCATTTCTCCTTAAAGCCTGTCTTCTCATTTGCGAAACCAAGTCACTAGGAACTGCATGCGTGACTACCCTGAGAGGAAATGTTTGTGAACGGCCAAGCACTTGGACACCTCGGAGTCACGAAGCAACAGTATCAACGTCACTTTGACATGCAGTGCTGCCCCTCCCCAGCTCTCTGATCCCGCTCCTCCTCGGGCAAATTGCACTCTGGGGGAAGGGTCTCTTAGTTACCCTAGCTATATGAAAGTCCTCCTGAATGTTCTGTCGCTGTGTATCATACCTTCTACAGAGCTACAGTTTTCTCTCTTAACATCTTTCTTCTATATTATCCAGACTATTGCTTGCCATTTGCCGTCCCCTTTTTCAGCAGAAATAAAAATCTGATCATTCACTCTATATCCCAGGCAATCAAGAATGAAGACATGTCCCAGACGCTCCTGCAGTGAGATGTAGACGAATAACTAAGTTCTTCCACATGGGGTACGAGCGGAAGCCACATAAGAGTTCAGGGTCAGAGACTCACACATAAATCTCAGAAGAGAGCAAAAAGCTGCAGCGAGGCCTCCAGACCCCAAAGTCACCATCCAGTTAAAAATTTAACTGCAGCTATCTCACCCTATTTAAAATCTTGGAATTGGGGCTGGAGAGATAGCACAGCGGGTTGGGCATTTGCCTTGCATGCGGCCGATCCGGGTTCGATTCCCAGCATCCCAGATGGTCCCCTGAGCACCGCCAGGAGTAACTCCTGAGTGCAGAGCCAGGAGTAACCCCTGTGCATCGCCAGGTGTGACCCAAAAAGCAAAAAAAATAAATAAAATTTTAGAAGTCCTGGAGCACGCAGTCACAAATGTGATCACGTGACATCTCATTCTCTGAGCCACTGATGTATCAGGAGTAGCACACACATTTGATGGGGTGTAAAGGAGAAGGCAACCAATCCCAGTAAAAAAAGAAATGAGCACACAAGGCTCAACCTGTAACAACATGTTAGTAATTTCTTTTGCAAAAAGCTTAATGTCTCCAGGGTGAGGTACAATGATCATCCTACACTTTTCTCCAAGGAAATTTTTGGGATCATTTTTTAGCAGATTATTAATAACAAGCTGGAGCGATAGCACAGCGGTAGGGCGTTTGCCTTGCACGCAGCCAACATGTCCGACCCGAATTCGATTCCTCCGCCCTTCTCGGAGAGCCCGGCAAGCTACCGAGAGTATCTCGCCTGCACGGCAGAGCCTGGCAAGCTCCCCGTGACGTATTCGATATGCCAGACACAGTAACAACAAAGTCTCCAATGGAGACGTTACTGGGCCCGCTCGAGCAAATAACAAGTAATACAAAATAAATTTAGGATCTGCCTTTGGGGCAGGCTTAGGTGGTGGTGGGAAAATTCAAAATAATGGTGGTGGGATTAGTGCTGGGACAGAATAAATTACTGTGAACAACTGTATAAAAAATTTTTAATGAAAAATTAAAAACTTAAAAAAAAAGAGTTATGCAGGGGCTGGAGTAATAGCACAGCGGGTAGGGCATTTGCCTTGCACATGGCTGACCCGGGTTTGATTCCCAGCATCCCATATGGTCTCCTGAGCACTGCCAGGGATAATCTCTGAGTGCAGAACCAGGAGTAACCCCTGAGCATCACTGGGTATGACCCAAAGAGCAAAAAAAAAAAAGAGTTACGGGTCATACTCTCCTTTGCCCCATTTTCTACTGACTAGAATGCAGACTCATTGATGAGTTCATAACATAAATAAAGGCAACATGTTAGGTAGTAAAGTAACAAGCCTCACCCCTAACAAAATGGAGTATATTCAGACATTACATTAAAGAAATAGTAACTTTATCTTGGTTATCTCCCGGAGGAGAACACAGAGTCTCCTGCCCCGCACCTGGCAGTCCTCACGGGGACCCCCTGGAGAAGGGCGGGCTGAGTTTCCCTCTCCACCCCGAGCAGAGCCCCGGCAGCTGGAGACCTCCAGGACCCAGCCACAGCCATGCTGAGACCACTCTCCACATGCTCGGATGAGCCTCACGCATGAAGGCACAGGCAGAGGAACCCAGGTGTGCGGGATCCGGAGCTGAGATCTCCAAGCCTGCTCGGTTCAGGACTGGGCCTCCTCCACCAGATCCCCCATCTTCCAGGAGCTAGGCAGGTACACCCACCAACTGTCGTGTAACCCCATCAACGGCCAGGATCCAGGGACGCTAAAACCAAGCTCCCGGAAGCACGTGGCAGCATGACCTCTTATTCTCTAGTTCCCACTCTCAGAGAACCCGGCAGGCTACAGAGACTTCTGGCCCGCATACAGGCCTGACTGGGAACATCTGTAAAGGTGACCAGAGTCCTCTCCAAAAGCCTCCATCCCGCTCGGAGAGCCCGGCAAGCTACCGAGAGTATCCTGCCCGCCCCACACTGCAGAGCCTGGCAAGCTATCTGCGGCGTACTCGATATGCCAAAGACAGTGACAATGATGGTCCTCATTCCCCTGACCCTGAAAGAGCCGCCAATATGCCACTGGGCTACACTAGCACAGGGAAGGGCTGAATGGAGACGTTACTGGCGCCTGCTCGAGCAAATCGATGAACAACGGGGTGATAGTTATAGTGATCTTGGTTAGGCAATTTTAAGTTTAGGTCTTTATTATAATAGCTATAATTTATTATCTTCTATTAAATTCTAAATTCCATAAAGGCAGAACACCTTGTCTTTTGATCTAACCAATGTATTGCTTGTGCCTAGGCAAAGCGGTTAGAATCTTTCCAAAGACTGAAAATTTATTAAAAAATGAATAAAGTCTAGTTCTTCGTTTGGCACTAGAGGACTTACACAGAATAAATTTAATTACTGTAGATAACATGCTAGTAATCATAATGCCCTAAATTATCTTCCCAAGTTATTTGAATATGTAAGTTATAAAATCCAGCAGCTTAAAACAATGTAAACAATGTTACCTGTAAAGTTTTATAAAGTGCTTTAAAATTTATTCTAATTGGCAAAAGTGCCTTAGTAAAATTATCAGTTAAGTCATGAATTAATCAGTTATTTATTATCTATTATATTAAGAACCAGACTAATTTATGCCACCCACAAGAAACCGAAAGGAAAAATACTTGTACATTTGTTACATACAAAGTTACATACAAAGTAACCAATAAACAGCACACCACAGGGATAGTACAGCAGACAGGGCACTTGCCTTGCATAGAGCCAAGCCAGGTTCAATACCTAGCCCACCCCATGCAGTCCCCACAACACCCCAAGAGGCGACCCCTGAGCGCAGAGCCAGGAATAAGACCTGAGCACCACCAAGTATGGCCCAAACACACACACACACACACACACACACACACACAATTAACCAATAAATAAAACTAATTTTAATATAATTAGAGTATATTTTAATATTAATATAATCATTATAGTATGTAAAATAAGCTTAACAATTTCTACCTACAAAGTAAACATGTTCTATAATAACACAAAATTTTATTTTGGGTGTGAGGCAAAATCAATTTAGAGAAATTTATTTAGAGAATGTGCTAATTACATGTAAAAATCAAAGAGAATAGTAAGAAAAAGGAGAGTCAAAACATTATTTAACGTATAGGTTCTCCTTGTATCACTTAGGGAATAAGTGAAGAGAAAATATAGGTATAAGGAGAAAAACCTGACTTATTTACCTCAATGAGTAATGCAACCATCTTTTTTCCATCAGCTTCTGGATTGGCAAGTTTGTTAAATTCCAAGTCAAAATAAAGCTTGCACACAGCATTTTCAGGAATTACTTCATAGCAGTGTAAGAGATTTTTTCTGAGTTGAATGATTCAAGATTGTTAGATTTATATCTTATATTATTCAAACCACAGAAGTCGATCTTACATCTTAAGATTACTGTTAACTGTAAAAAATATTTAACTATGACATAATGATAAAGTGAACAACCTCACCATAGCCTTATGGCTTACAGTAACAAGAATTTCCATCAAATAAGATGTTGCAAGCACATTTTCTAACATTACGTAACTAGAAAATATGGTCCACTTCTGTTACTCACAAATGATTCTGATACTTTCTAACACTTTCATGTTTGTTTTTTAATGCCACCATAAGAGGAAAAACTAACTTGATTTACCAAACTGGCATCCAGTACCACATAGTCTGGGGAGTCCATGCATTATATAGCAATTCTAAATTTTTTGTTAGGAAGGATCAGCTTAAAGGCATATTTGACTCCCCTATCTTCATTGAACTTCAGTGCTCACGCTGGCAGTTACAGACCACTGACATCAACAAGCAGAACTAACCGGGGCCAGAACAGAGCTGACTTGACAAGTCAACATGGTAACTTGTACTAAGTGATGGCATCCCCTACAATCAAAAGATCAAGGTAATGTGAACAGAAAAAGTGACAAGGGAAACCGTGTCACATTGGTACAGTCACCAGGAGCTCACATCGCACATATACGCATGGTTATTTTCTCCTAGCACCAAGGGATAACTCACTACTACTGTAACAAGGGAACTCCAGAATTAAATTCTAATAGTAAGATGACTAATTGTGTCATCAAGAATTACACCAGTCAATTCTGTGTGAGTTAATTTTATAAAAATTATTTGCGAGGAAGGCCTGGAGTGATAGTACAGCCCAGGTCTGCCTTATACACGGCCAACTCAGGTTTGATCCCCAGCATCCCATGTGATCCCCCAAGCACTGCCAGGAGTAATTTCTGAGTGCAGAGCCAGGAGTAAGTTCTGAGCATCGCTGGGTGTGAACTGAAAAAAATTTTTAATTATTTGACAGGAAATATAATTTAATAATACACTGTACTTTACTAACTACTTACCTGAATTTATAGTAAAACCAAAGTTGAGTGTAAGTTGTTACAAGGTAAATACGTTGTCCATTACCCACTTTGTATTCCAAAGCAAATACATGAACATCCTTTATAAAATTTAAAAAAAAAAGATATTCAAAGAGATAATTAAAGTGCAAACTTAAATTCAACTGTAACTATAAAATACTCATGAAGAATATTGCCATCAAATTTTCAAAAACTGGAATTTAAACATGTTTCAAAAACAAGAAAAACAATCACAAGCTATGACTAATGACTAATAACAATACAGTCATTTTTAGTTAACCATTTCGTAGTCACTCATGCACAAGTAATTCTTGATCCAGACATAGACTATCTAGATATAAAGAGAAAAAAGAATATCACGTTTCAATATCTCTCGTTTGATTTCCTATTAGTCTTTTGCTAATTCATAAACTTAAACTTATTCTTTAAAACTATCAAGAAATGGGCCAAGAGACAGTATGGCAGGTAGGGCGTTTGCCTTGCAAGCGGCCTTTCAGGTTTGATCCCAGCATCTCATATGGTCCCAGAGCACTGCCAAGGAGTAAGGCCTGAATACCACCAACAGGTGCGAAATGAGTCAGAAAGAGAGGAATAGACATAGAAAGATTGCATTCATCTGGGGAACATAAAATAACAAAATAGGAGACTAACACCAAGAATGGCCGAGATTAGTACCAGGAATTTTGCTCCATGGCTTTGAGGCCAGCCACACATGCTAGGGGAAAAGGAAGCTCAGATAGAGAAAGGAGCACCAAGTAAAGGGTGTTGGGAGGATCCTCCCAGGATGGGAGAAGCATGCTGAAAGTAGACTATAGACCGAACATGATTGCCACTCAATGCCTCTTTTGCAAACCACAACACCCAAAAGGAAAGAGAGGACAAAGGGGAATGCCCTGCCACAGAGGCAGGGTGGAGTGGGGGATAGGGGGGTGAGAGGGATACTGAGACCCGTGGTGGTGGAAAATGGGCACTGGTGGAGGGATGGGTATTTGATCATTGTATAACTGAAAGCCAAGCAGAAATTTTTTTTTTTCTTTTTGGGTCACACCTGGCAATGCACAGGGGTTACTCCTGGCTCTGTGCTCAGGAATTACCCCTGGCAGTGCTCAGGGGACCATATGGGATGCTGGGAATTGAACCCGGGTCTGCCATGTGCAAAGCAAACACCCTACCCCCTATGCTATTGCTCCAGCCCCCCAAGCACAAAATTTGTAAGTCTACAACTGTACCTCATGGTGTTTCACTAATAAAATTTAAAAAAAAAATTAAGTTCCAAAAAAACAAAAAACAAAAAATGAAATTAATAAAAGCACCTAAAGATTATCATAATCATTTGTGCTAAAATTAATAAATTCTCTAGCACAAATAAAAACTTAGGTGGGCAATAACTTTTTATCAAGTACTTGTATATTAAAAGCTTAGGTTTTTAAAATACTTAACTTTAGTAATAATTACAAACCGCCTTTTCTTTTAACAAAACAATTTTTTATGGTGAACTGATCTTATACTTGATATGTCTGTTCCCATTAATTTTTCTAATAAAGGAATACTAATTTTATTTTTTCGTTTTGGTTTTGGTTTCTGTTTTCGTATCTATTAGCTACAGGTAGCTGTTGAGGCTACAAAGAAACTAAACTTTCACTTTCACGAGTGAGATGTAGAAAGTTACTTGATCCTACTAAAAATTCTGAGACCGATGATCCATAAGCACAGAAATCACACTCAAATATTTTTAAAATTCAAGATTAGGTGCTCTCAATAAATTTTTAATATCTGAACAAGGCCTACACAAAATAAATGTAAAAAATTTTCCTAGGTATCCTATTTTGATATGAGTGAGCTTTTTAGTGGAGTCCTCCCCCTAAAATACAGACTAGCATTTTGAGTTTTCACATGGCAGCACAACACAGAATCAGAATACATTTATGTCATATACTGCCACTGTTTAAATTTAGTTCTCAAGGGGCTGGAGTAACAATACAATGGATAAGGCACCTGCCTTGCACAGGTGACCTGGGTTGGATCCCAACACTCCATATGGTCCCTTGAGTTCTGCCAGAAGTGATCCCTGAGCACAGCTGAATGAGGCCCAAACACAAAATTAAAATTTCTAAAAATTGTTTTTCTGGCCACATCCAGCCATGCTCAGAGGTTACTCCAGGCTCTACACTCAAAATTAATCCTTGTGGTATTCAGGGGACCCTATGGGATGCCAGGGCTCAGACCCGGGTCATGCAAGGTAAGTTTCCTACCTGCTGTCCTACTGCTCTGACCACTTCCCCATTTTTTAATAAAATTAATTTTTTGATTCAGTTCTTCTTTCCCAAATTTTTCCCATAAGATGTTATATGCTATTCGTTTATTTCCTCATATTCTGGGTAGTTTTCTTCTTTTTTTGCTTTCTGGGTCACACTCGGCAATGCACAGGGGTTACTCCTGGCTCTGCACTCAGGAATTACTCTTGGCAGTGCTCAGGGGAACATAGAGGATGCTGGGATTCGAACTGGAGTCAGCCGCATACAAGGCAAACGCCCTACCCGCTGTGCTATCACTACAGCTCCAGGGGAAAAATACATGAGAAAGTACCTCTTTACAGCTTCTAACAAATTTAAAAGCTTCCGTTTGTCGATGAAATAGTTTCCAAATGTTCGGTGGTTCTTCTGGCCTGGACAGTCTTGGCTTATATACTGAAGGCAATGGTTTCCTCTCATAATGAGATGCCAGTTCTTCAATTTGCTTCAGTTTTGTTTCCCACTTTCTTTTCATTAGTTCAGAAGTGATCATGGTGTCTCCGCTGCCAGGTAAGTATCACAATGGAGATGTTACTGGGCCTGCTCGAGCAAATCAAGGAACAATGGGAGGACAGTGCTACAGATCAGAAGTATGGGAAGAAAAGATCCTATCTTGTAAGATTTCTATCTTTCCTCCTGAAACAAATGAAAAAGACATCAATTTCTTTCATTACATCTGGTCTCATAAACTATATTTCAATGCATTTACTAATGCTAACTTCTCTGCTTTGCATTTTGTTTTACACTAAGTTTTTCTGTTAAACAAGAACAGGGCTGTCAGTCATACCTTCTAGATTCTGACTGTTGCATCTCAAAAGTGCTCTCTGATTGAGGAGAGGGAAACGGAGCTACCTAAGTCTTACTGAGCTGCAAAGGGGAATAATAAATATTTATCTTAAATCTTATCATAGAGCTTGATGAATGTTAAGTGTTTTATGAAATACCAAGTTCCTTTGTAAGTGCTTGGTACAATATAGTTTTATAATGACCACTTAATTGCATCAAGTGCCACCTGGCCCAGCTTGCCACTGTTTTGACTGTCACATACTATTACTTCTTTTTGTTTGTTTTGGCTTTTGGGGTCACACCCAGCGATTTCAGGGGTAATTCCTGTCTCCACACTCAGGAAATACTCCTGGAGTGCTTGAGGGGACCATACGAAATGCTGAGGATTGAAGCCAGGTCAGTTGTGCGCAAGGCCAATGCCCTACTCACTGTACTATCACCTCGGCCCCAATTTCTTAGTGTTAAGTTCACATCTAGGCACCAATGTTCAGCTCTTACCTCCTTTTGCAAGTTTATCTACCAACACAATTATAGCTAAGATAACACAGTTATATGCATAGGAACTCCTATAAGGCTTGCTCTGGACACTTACAGTAATCATAAACATAATTTTTAGAAGGTACAGCTAAAATCTTAACCGATGTCTGTTAGTTTTATACCTAGTAAATGTCTTTGTGTCCATGATGTACTTCCATGTGAGTCAGGCTACGCAAAGGTTCTAGCAACACTTTTCCAATTTGGGATTATAATTTACTTGAGTAACGGGATGTCAAGTGATCAAGTAAATCATATCATTTAAGTAAAATTCATTTCACTTAAGTAAAATTCATATCATTTAAGTAAAACAGATCATTTAAGTAAAATTACATATGCAATTAAGGTAAGATTCCTATTCACCTTTGCCAACACCTTTTGAGCACCTGGACCCAAAAAACTGATATTTTTAAGTTTCAGCAGAAAAGTTTGCAACACAAAACTTATTGGTAAATGACATTATTTCCTGAAAGGAAATTAGAATCATCCTAAAATACTGAAAGGGTAGGAACAGCATGAAAATGTGAAAAGTGTTAGAAAAAAAGTCATTATTATTGAGAGATGTCAACCGTACTAGCTCAAAAAAGTATTATTCTCTTAGAATGAGTTATTTACATGAATTAATTATAAACCTTCAGTACTAAGCATGGAGAACCCAAAAAGCACCCCATCAGCAACAAATGGGCGTGGGCCTGAGTACCACCAGAAAAGGAAAAAATATATACACACAACACATGCATAACAAGAAACAAATATAACTCTAGGGATGGCAAATAAACTTTAACATACGAATACCTAGTAAATAAATATAATTTCATTAGAGAGATGGAGCATTTTTTTTAAACCTGCTTTAATCTTTTACAAGATAAACTCCTAAGTGCTAGACAGATTCTAAGTTTACCTTAATCTTCTTCACAGATAAAAGACCCTATGTTTAGCTAAAAACTTTCTTTTTTGGTGTTTTAGGTCACACCCAGCTATGGACTCAGGGATGACTCCTGGCTGGCTCCAGGGACCTTCTGGGGTGCCGGGAATGGAACTTAGGTCAGCCACATGTACAGCAAGTGCCTTACTGGCTGTACCATCTTTCCATCCCAAGAAACTGACCTTCTTCTGTGAAATGTATTCACTTTTAATAAAGTCCATGAATTATCTGATGAAGCAATAAACACAAAATACTAGAGCCACAATTCATATCTGATTATCTAATTAAGTGACTAGAAATAATCAACTAGATGTTCATACCTAGTGACACTGACAAAATAATTTTTTTTATTTTTTAAAAGACTGAAATGACCGTGGGATGCCATACAAAAAAAGTCAGTCACCACGGGAAACAAATTTAAGGCTCCCTGGACAGAGGAAATAACTGTCAAGAGGAAAAGAACTTTTGCATATTATGCCTTCATGTTATTTGCACGGTCGGAAAATCTGAACAGCTGGGCAGAAAGCAAGAAGACAGCTGGGGCTTGACTAAAAGCAGGAGGGTCGAATGACAAAGAACTGGAGAAGAGGAGAGCACGTGGCATTCTAATTTATAATTGTAAGATGCATCATCCCTGCCCCTGGGGAGAACATCACCATTAATTATTAGAAATGCTAGGGTGGGCGCATATGCTGCCCAAGCCCATGTGCTGTTTCTGCCCACGTGGCCGAGCACATGTGGTGCCTGAGCACATGTGTCGCCCGCATCTCCCCTCTTGAGATGTGTACTTTCATGCTTTTCTGTCTAATGCTAGGATGTGTGTAGGGGTTCTCTCTCTGCCCTTGGAGAAGCCCGTGTTCTCTCTTGAGTACGTTACTGTCTCTCACTCTCTTTCTCCCTCCATACCCAAAAATCCTCCAAATAAAATCTATTTATTTCAAAAAAAAAAAAGAAAGAAATGCTAGGGTGGAATCCAGCTTTATAACAGTGTGTATCAAAACTTCTTTCCTGCAGACACCAGGAACTCCTGGGTGGTGTTTCCAAGTTCCAAAGAGAACGTTTAAATCAATAGGTCGATGACTCCTATTCGCTATTTCACACTGTACCACAATGTTTCACCAGGTTTGATACAGAACTAACTGGGGCGGGGTGGGGAGGGGGGGGTGGCCACAGCTGGCTCTGCGCTCAGAGAGGACTCCTGGCCAGACTCCAAAGACCATCAAGTGTGCTGGATGTGCTCTCTCCCTAATACCAGGCACCCCTTATGGTCCTCCGAGCCCCACCTGCCTGCAGTGACCCCTGAGCTCAGAGGCAGGAGCAACCCCAAGCCACCGCCCCGGGGTGGGGGGGTGGGGGGGGGGGGCGAAAACATTGCAAAAACATCTCAAGAGCACAGAAAAACCTCTGGATAACTAAATGGCCTTATCTAGCAGGTGAAGCAACGCACAGAAACCCCGACTGAAGTCAGGAGGCCCATGCCTGGTCACCAGCACCCCGCGGGGCCTCTCGAGACCCAATCTGCCGGGTGGACAGGCCTGATGGGCAAGCCCGCTGCTCCCCGGCCGGCCGAAGCCCCTGCACCAGCTGCGCGAAGGCCGGCCGAAAGGCGCTGCAGGAGGGGCTGGTCAGTGTCGATTCTGGACAAGGGTTCCCGGGTGGGCCTCATCGAAACGTGGCCCCGGGGCTGTGGTCTCCAACGCGGGCAGCGTCCTTGCAAACGCCGGCTGGGCGCGGCTGCGGGCGCCAGGTCAGCTGCGGGACGCGGCCGGTCTCGGGTCGCAGGGGGGTGGCGGTGATCACCAGTGCGGCTGGCGTCCGCTCCGGTCCCCCCAGCTGCGCCCCCGCACCCCCGGGAGCCGCGGGCCGCCTTACCCACGCGGACCGCGCGGCCGACGTCTTCGAATCCGGCGCCGGGGCGGGAGGACCGGAAGTCGCCGGGCCCGGGGTGTCGGGGAGCGAGCGGGCGCGCCGGGGGCTAGAGCGCCACGCGGAGGCGGAAGTCCGCGGGGTGAGGGGAGTGTCCTGGGCGGGGCGTGGGGGCGTGGGGGCGGGGCTTCCCCCGCGGGCCGCGGAGGCCTTTGGAAGCGGGGCTGGGAGGAGGGGGCGTGGCTCGCGTCTCCGCGCCAATCCGCGGGCGGAGGCGGGGCTGGGAGGGGGCGTGGCTCGCGTCTCCGCGCCAATCCGCAGGGCGGAGGCGGGGCTAATGGGGGCGTGGCTCGCGTCTCCGCGCCAATCCGCAGGGCGGGGGCGGGGCTCCGAGGGAGCGCGGTTTGCGTCACCGCGCCAGGCCGCTGCCCCCGCTGCATTTCGGAGCGGGCAGCCCAGGTGCGAGCATCCCGCCGCGTGCAGGTCCGGTGAGTGTCGTCCTCCCTCCTTCCGATTGCGGCGTCGCAAACCGGGCCCGCTGCGTCCATGCCCCCTAGCTCGGCGCCCGGTCCCTCTCCGGCCTGCAGAGTCTTTGTTTGGCCGCGGCGGCGTGGCCGAAGGGCGAGGATGCAGAGCCCCGGCTTGGGGCAGCCCCGAGGCCTCACCCAGGATGCAGGGGCGAGCGGGAGCGGGGACGGCGGGAGCCGGGGGGACCTGCACGGTACTGCCCGAAGCCCCTTCGCCTGCTATAGCTGTTGGCTGCTGAGCAGCTGCCTCGGGCTCGTTCCGCATCCAGGGGCGGGTGCCCAGCCCAGAAAGCAGAAGTCGGGCTCAGCTCACCTCTGTCTCTCTCTCCCCCCGCTGCCGCCCTGCTGCCTATGCCAACATCCCCCCTTGGACCCTGAGAACGTCATCCTTCTCGCCTGCTCTACGCCAAACCAGGATCTCGAACCCTGGGCTCAGGCAGCCGCTTGAATGAATATCCGCCTTGCTTCCAGGTCTTCCATCTGCCCCTTGGGGCATTTTCACAAAATAAGACCCTAGGCTGAGAGGACTGGTGTTAAGGCTTTGCTACCACGAGCCCGGTTTTTCCCCAGCAGTAGCAGCCCTTGGGGGGTGGGGGAGGGCGGCAGATCGGAACACAAAGCCCAGGACGCCACAGGGTGTGGCCCAGACGCCAAAGACAATTTTCAGTCTAACAAGCACTTTCCTTGCCTTCGGGCTAAGCACCTTGGTCACAAGGTGACTCCACTTCCTTGCTTGGCACCCCAGCTTATCTCTGCCCTATCTTTTGCCTTACTGCTACTTCTCTTGCCTTTGTGACCTTAATACCCAGCCAGTAACACCCCAGTCAGGTCCCATGGCCTTCATGGAGACTTCCTGTGTCCTTTTGCATATCACATCCTTTGCCTTAGTTTTTTTGTTTTTTGGGTTTTTTGGGGGGTTTTGTTTTTTGGGGTTTTTTTTGCTTTTTGCGTCACACCTGGCGATGCACAGGGGTTACTCCTGGCGGTGCTCAGGGGACCATATGGGATGCTGGGAATCGAACCCCGGTTGGCTGCATGCAAGGCAAACACCCTACCCGCTGTGCTATCTCTCCAGCCCCTGCCTTAGTTTCTTAACTATCTTCCCTCTTATTCTAAGCATCTTCCTTGAGAAACTGTTTCTCTTATTACTTAATTGTATTCCCCCATACCCAAGACCTGTCTAAAGTAAGAGTCCATACAGTATTATACCTGTTAATAATAATGGGCTGTATAGGCAGGAGGGAAAAAAACCTGTCTTTGGGCACAGTATGAGAAAGGGATGGTGGGATTGAAATACAGTGTAACTGGGAGACTGTAAGGAGAGAGGGTTCTAAGCAAGAGGACCACCCCAAGTTCAGATGGGCTCCGCCACTTTAAAAGTGTTGCAGTCCCACTCTGGAAGAATGAAGTGTAAAGCTTCAATTATTGGGAATGAGCAATTGGATTGTGGTCATAAAACCTGTTCACCTTAAAGGAATTGGAGCATTGTACCTAATTTGCTGTCATGCAGAAAAAGGCCTAGTGTACAGTCTGAAATGTGCAGCCCATGGGGTGCTTGCCTTGCACTTGGCCCACCCAAGTTATACCCCTCCCCAACCCCTCCAGGAGTGGTCTCAGTCCCTGAGCTCAGAGGCTCAGAGGGAAGACTGAACAAGCTCTGAGTACCACTGGGTGTGGCAGTTTAAGGATTCACATTTGACTATTGGCGGTGCCTTTAACTGTTTTGAACTTGGTCTACTGCTTGATTCCCTACATATCCAAAGTAGGATTTCTTTTCCTTTTTTGTTTTTGGGTTTCCTCACCCCCCCCCCCATAAAAATTAACACTGGACTGGAGTCATGGCACATTGAGTAGAATGCCTGCCTTGCACAAGCTGGCCTGAGTTCCATCAGTAGTTCTCGAAGATTTATCTCTAAGATGAACAGCACCGGGCAAGGGGGTTAAGGGTGTTGGGATTGGGAGGGGCACTGAAAAAACTGGGGAATTCTTAAAATGTTAGGATGCTGTTTTGTACTGGAATGGAGTACATAACTTGTCAGACAACCAGACGTGGAGACCCGTGTATCCATTAGGCATCATTTTCATATTTCACAGGATCCTGATGTTGTCAGGATCAAATGAAGGATCTGTGGTCTAATTTGTAAGTTAAAATCTCTGTAGTATGTTCTAATGTTAGTGATTTCTCTTCCTGGTTTGTTCCTGCCTTCAGCTGCTCCTGTGTGTAGTAACAATGTTACCTGAGAAGTATTCTACACTGACTGGCCTTAGGACAGTGAACAGTAAGCCTGGGGTGGGCAACGCTTTGTCCCTTGTCTTCCTTCAGACATTTAACGCCTAGTACAGGTCCATACACAGTCCCGCTCCAAAAATTACCATGGAGCCCATGACAAATGAGTACTATTACTGACTTCAGCAATTCCAGACCTATGGCAGGATTTTCTTAATGGGGAACCTGAATCTGATTTTGTAGGAGGAGACCTAGTAGATTTATACATGATTTTTATGAGGTATCCACAATTCCTTGGTCTACAGTTATTTTATGCAGAGTACTTAGATCTGAAAGAACTTCCCTTTATTGTCTCTCAAAAAAAAAAAAAGCCAAATTAGGATTGCAGGTACAGAAGAAGACAGACCCCATTGTAACTATTATTTTCTTTCTGGCCTGGGGCTAAGGCATAGGTAAGGACTCTAGACTCTGTGTCACATGGCCCAAAGGAAAGAATGGTTTTATTTGTTCGCCTTGTACAGCTGAAGTTAGTTTATTCTTAGTGTTTTTTTTTTCTTCTTGGGTCACACCCGGCGATGCTCAGGGGTTACTCCTGGCTCTGCACTCAGGAATTACTCCTGGCGGTGCTTGGGGGACCATCCGGGTCGGTCACATGCAAGGCAAACGCCCTACCCGCTGTGCTGTCGCTCCAGCCCCCCTCAGTGTTTCTTAGAGCTGAGGACTATATAATTAACTGTTCTTGAGCTTAGAGATTAATTTGACTTGCTGTTCATGTATCTTCGCCTTAACACAAAATAGATGTTTAAAGATCGACTTTAGCACACCCAGTGAGAGTATGCAATCTGGTCTTTTTTTTTTTTTTTAATGTGTCCCCAAAGATACTGAACAACCCGCTGGGAAACAATTGCAATAAAACTTTCAGTATGCTACAGTGGAATGATCTGTATGTCTGAATTCCTGTGATAAGTATATTCTCTTCCAGCTTCAATTTCTAAATCTGGGAATGGGAAATTTGAGACTTTGACCTCTCTATACAGCCTTTATATTTTTCAAGTTCTTTATTACCAGAGTAATACTGGGAAAGCTTTGCCTTTCCTTTAAAAGGCCAAGAAACAGAAATATCTTACCAATGTCTACTTCACATGGATGTTTCACAACAAACCAATTATTTCACATTTAGAAGCAAATCCCTCAGTGGCATTAGAAATATAGTTGTCGTAGAACTGGGTCCTGAAAGGAGGTAAAGTGACATGCATGATACCCCCTCTGTGACAGTACTGCAAAACCCAGTGCCTAAGCGGAAAAAAAGAAAAGTTATCTGCCATAGAGGCGAGCTAGGGAATGAGAGGGAAACTGTGGACATTGGTGAAGGGAAGTAGACACTGCTGAAGAGATGGGGTGCCCAAATATCGAACAACTGAAAATCACAAACAGCTGTACATTGTCTCTTACAGTAATTTAATTTTAAAAATAAAAATTCTTTAGAAATTGAGCTCCCATTTGACCCAGCAATACCACTCCTGGGAATATACCCCAGAGAGGCAAAAATGTGTAGTCGAAGTGACATCTGCACTTGTTTGTTCATTGCAGCACTCTTTACAATAGCCAGAAACTGGAAGAAACCTGAGTGCCTGAGAACAGATGACTGGTTAAAGAAACTTTGGTACATCTACACAATGGAGTACTATGTAGCTCTTAGAAAAGATGAAGTCATGAAATTTACATACAAGTGGTACAACATGGAAAGTATCATGCTAAGCGAAATGAGTCAGAAAGAGAGGGATAGACATAGAAAGATTGCATTCATCTGGGGGATATAAAGTAACAAAGTATGAGATTAATACCCAAGAATAGCTGAGATCAGCACCAGGAGGATTACTCCATAGCTTAGTGGTCAGTCGGGCATTCTAGAGGAAAGGGCAGCTCAGATAGAGAAGGGAGCACCAAATAAAGGGTGTTTGGAGGATCCTCCCAGGAGGGGAGATGCATGTCGAAAGTGGACTATGGACTGAACATGTTTGCCACTCAATGCCTCTTTTGCAGACCACAACACCCAAAAGGAGAGAGAGAACACAGGGGATTGCCCTGCCACAGAGGCGGGGGGGGTGGGGGATGGGAGTGGGGGGGATATTATCCATGGTGGTGGAAAATGGCACTGGTGGAGGGATGGGTATCTGATCATTGTATAATCAAACCTAAGCACAAAAAATTGTAAATCTACAACTGTACCTCATGGTGTTTCACTAATAATAATAAAAAAAATTAAAATTAAAAATGAAAAAAGTGGGGGCCTAAAAAATGTATAGTGGAAGAGACATCTGCACTTGTTTGTTCGTTGCAACACTCTTTACAATAGCCAGAAACTGGAAGAAACCTGAATGCCCAAGAACAGATGACTGGTTAAAGAAACTTTGGTACATCTACACAATGGAGTACTATGTAGCTGTTAGAAAAGACGAAGTCATGAAATTTACATACAAGTGGTACAACATGGAAAGTATCATGTTAAGCGAAATGAATCAGAAAGAGAGGGATAGACATAGAAAGATTGCATTCATCTGGGGGATATAAAGTAACAAAATATGAGATTAATACCCAAGAATAGCTGACATCAGCACCAGGAGGATTACTCCATAGCTTAGTGGTCAGTCGGGCATTCTAGAGGAAAGGGCAGTTCAGATAGAGAAGGGAGCACCAAATAAAGGGTGTTTGGAGGATCCTCCCAGGAGGGGAGATGCATGTCGAAAGTAGACTATGGACTGAACATGTTTGCCACTCAATGCCTCTTTTGCAGACCACAACACCCAAAAGGAGAGAGAGAACACAGGGGATTGCCCTGCCACAGAGACAGGGGGGATGGGGGGATGGGGGTGGGAGGGATATTATCCATGGTGGTGGAAAATGGGCACTGGTGGAGGGATGGGTATCTGATCATTGTATAATCAAACCCAAGCACAAAAAATTGCAAATTTACAACTGTACCTCATGGTGTTTCACTAATAAAAAAAAATTTTTTTAAAAAAGAAGAAAAAAAATAAAAATTCTGTAATTCAAAGTATTTATGTGTATATACAGATATATAGGTTTTTTTCTATTAGAGTCAGTACCTGTCGTGCTATTTCAGTTTCTTTGCATTGATTTTTCCGGTTGATGTTTCGTCAAATAAAAATGTTCCTTTTATCATATAAGGCAGTTTCCTTTGGGAGAAACCATTTTCTCCTTCCAAGATGAGCTCACCCTCTCCAGAGTGACTTGTCTTGGGCCGGCATTAGCTAATGGGGGTGAGGTAATGCTGTAGAGGTAACACTCTCGGAAGCCCTTTGATGGCCAGAGCTCTGCTCCCGGGAGTGTGGAATTGAGTTCTCATAAGGAAAGAGCAAATGGAGACAGTTAGCAAGTGTATATGTGTCTGATGCCGTGGGGATTTACTTTGATTATATATATATATATTTTTTTAATACAGATATTAACAGTGAAGGAAACAAAGCATAGTCCTTGTTCCTGGAATATCCTTCTCAAATAAGGCCCTTGATTTCAAACCCTGTCCTAGGTACCAAGAGTATAGCAGGTCGGGTGCTTGCCTTGCCCGTGGCCAGCCAGGTTCCATCTCCAGCCCGCCAGGAGTAACCCTTGAGCACCACCAGGTATGTGTCGTTCCCCCCCCCCCCAAAAAAAAAAAAACAGCCTAAATCCTGTCCTAAAAGAATTCGTGGTATTTCTTAACCTCTTTACGAAACAAATTGTCTATCTCATGTTTGATATCACTAATAATTATAAATAATTGCTTGTATTAAGAATAGCCTATCTGGAACTTTTGGGTTAAAATTGATTTAAATGGTTGGGGGGGGGAATGTTTAAAAGCTAGCAAATACAGCTGGAGCGACAGTACAGTATAAGGCACTTCTTGGCACCCGGCTCACTCTGTGTCCATCCCTGACCACCAACTGCAGTGATCGTTCACCATGCGGTTTTCTTAGTCAAATTAACCACCATCTTGTTTCGCAGCCACAGACTGAATGCCTTGACTTACGGTCTGCCTGTAGAGTTGGAGGCAGGGTCCCTGATGCTTATGATTCAGGGACATTTGACATTTCCCTGTGCCTAATGTGTTGTATGAATAAACCGAAAAAGAAAAGAAACCAGGAAAAGGCAGGAAAGCATGAACTGAGCAATCAAAAAGAGCTTCTACTTTAATGGTCATAGAACAGCCTTATTTTGTAAATCACTTTTGGGTTTTTTTTTTTTTGTGGGGGGGTTGGGGGGTTACATCTGGCGGTGCTGGGGGCTCACTCCTGGCTCAGTGCTCAAGGATCACTCCTGGTGGTGATGAGGGGATTGTATGTGGTCCCGGGGCTTGAACCTGGGCCAGCCACTTGCAAGGCAAGCGCCCTACCAACTGTATTAGCACTCTGACCCTTATGGTTGTATTTTGATTGGAGTTTTGAGCTAGCCAGAGATTCTGGAGGCTGGAGAAAGTCAAGATTTTTTTTTTTCATCCCAGGGCCAAAGTGATAGTAGGTTAAGGCACTTGCCTTGCATGCAGCACAGTGGACACCAGATGACCCAGGGAATGTCAGCACCGTGTGGGCCAAGGGGCGCCTTAGCCTCAGGCCCTTCCTCCGAACTGTGCTGCTTCTGTACTTCTAGATCAGCTTAAGAAAGAGAGAAAAAGATGAACTCCATTATACATAATTTCACAGTGGATTGTTGTACTCAGTTTGACCCACAGAAACCTTGGACAGCCTTTCACGGGTGAAGTGCGGAGCTGTGGCAATCCCCCGTGAAAATGCCCGTATGAACTATTAATTTGGCGACACAATCATAGGAATAATTAATGACACACTATGGCTTTATTGTGGCTATTAGGTTGAGTTTTGTTGTTGTTTTAGTTGTTGTTTTAGTTGTTGTTTTATCAACCTCTCTTTATATTCTAGTTAAAAGTACCCATGGAGAACTCTGAAATCTCAGTAGACGCAAAATCCGTAAAGAATTCAGAAGAGTGAGTATTTCATTGGAATCTGATTTATTAGAGGGGGGCAGGCGTGTGTCATTCTGTCCACTGAGGAGCAGAGAAGAGATAGGGGTCAACACCTGCCTTCTCCGCTGTGTGGCTTGATTGCTAGTCTTCCTTCCCTGCAGCTGGTCTTCCAAACGGGGGACGGGCTGGTGCGGCACTGACCCCCGTTTCGAACAATCCATCCTGCTAAGGCTGGAGCCATAGTACAGCAGGTAGGACACTTGCTTTGTGAGTGAGCTGACTCACTTCGACCCCCGGCACCCCATATAGTCCAACAAGCACTGCTGAGAGTGGCCCCAAAGCATTGGGCAAGGAGTAAGCCCTGAGCACCAGAAACCAAACAAAAAAACAAAGCCGCCCCCCCAGGAGTCACCTTTCCAGATGGTTCTGCAGCTCCAAACCTACACCAGTGACCCAGGTCTCCCCTCCTCTCCACCTGACTCCTTAGCTCTCCTCACTCAGCCAGAGACTGAATACAGCACATGTCTGTGCCCCAGCCCCAGCAGGAGTGATCCCTGAGCATAGCCAGGCGATGATGGAGGGGCTGGAGCCATAGGGCGTACAGAGGATACGGCGTTTGCCTTGCACGCAGGCAACATGGCCGACCCTGGTTCCATTCCCAGCATCCTGTATGGTCCCCGGAGCACCACCAGGAGTAATTCCTGAGGGCATGAGCCAGGAGTAACCCCCGAGCATCGCTGGGTGTGACCCAAAAAGAGAAAGAAAAAAAAAGTTGATGGAAACCTAGTTGTCTAGGTTTTAGTAAAGTACTTCTGCACAAGTATAAAATGCATTCGATGAAAGTATTAATAAAGTTCAGAGGAATGGATAAAATGCAGATTAAGAACCTGACAAAGGGGGCCGGTGCGATAATACAGCAGTTAGGGCGTTCACCTTGCACGCGGCTGACCCAGGTTCAATCCCCGGCATCCCGTATGATAGCACCTCCAAGAGTAATTTCTGACTGCAGAGCCAGGAGTAGCCCCTGAGCATCTCTGGGTGTGACCCAAAAAGGAAAAAAAGAGGCTGGAGAGATAGCACAGCGGGCAGGCGTTTGCCTTGCACACGACCGACCCAGGTTCGATTCCCAGCATCCCATATGGTCCCCTGAGCACCGCCGGGAGTGACTGCTGAGTGCAGAGCCAGGAGTAACCCCTGTGCATCACCAGGTGTGACCCCAAAAAGGCAAAAAAAAAACAACCTGATAAAGGACCAACCGCCTTCAGCCGAAAGCAGCGGCCCGGTCCCATCCCCAGCCTGTGCCTCTGAAGGGAGGAAAAGGCCAAAACAGTGGCGTGTGCTGTTGCTTCGAAGTTGGGTCAGCGCACTGATGATAAGCACCTGAGTCTTCTCTACCTTTGCCTTCCCAACAGAAAGATCATACATGGCAGCAAGTCAGTGGACTCTGGAATATCGTTGGACAATAGTTACAAAATGAATTATCCTGAAATGGGCGTGTGTTTAATAATTAATAATAAGAACTTCAAAGGCGAAGGTATGTATCATTGCGTAATCGGTACTGCTTTTCAACTATTCGTATCACTTAGGCTTGGCAGGATATGAAAATCATCGGTTTGATTTGTGCTACTGCTGACACTCTAGTGGGGAATAGCGGTGAGGTGGAGGTGGCATGCGCCCCTCGCCCTTCCCCTCTGTGGGTTTGGGCCCCCTCTGCTCCGCGGGACTAGTTTGTTGTAACCTTTGCTTTTGCTCTTTCTCCCTCCTTTATTCTGGTGGAGGTGCTCGACAAATAATGAACAGTAGGATTTTCCCCTTCTCAGAATTGTACAGGGTATATACATGTATTGTCTCGTTTCATCATGAGAACAAACTTGAAAAGTGGCTATGAGATTCTAAAGGCTAAAATCCTAGCCTAGGGGTGACCAGAGCAGTAGTCTAGGGGAAAGGCAGAGGTTTGCATAGGTTTCATCACTATGCTTCATGGTCCCCTGAAAAGTGACGCCTGAACACAGCCAGGAATAACCCCTGAGCACTGCCACCTGTGGCCCAGTGACTGAAAGAAGTCCTAGAGACAGCAGGAAGGGTGTTTGCCTTGCACATGGCCAACCCAGGTTCCATCCCCAGCACCCCGTATGGTCCCCTGAGCTCTGCCTGGAGTGATCCCTGAGCACAGAGGCAAGAATAAGCCCTGCGTACAAACAGAAAGAAACAAAGCTGAAAGAAGAAGCCAAGATTACACTCAAACAGAAGCACGGTTTGCTTCAGTGAAAGAGTAAGGAAAGAGAAGTTGAAAATGGGTGGCTGGATCTTTTCCTCTGTCGACTCAGATGGCCGTAACCATTAGATTATTCTGCTTCACATTACTAGCCATAAATGCCTGTAGAATTTTCCACTTGTGACCTTTTTATTTCCACCCCCAGTTAAGGATGCATATTCCACTCAGACCCCGGAAATTACACAAACCAGTGACCTGGCTTTGGTCATCTATGCGCCCCTTGGCTTCTCAGGCAGTGTCCGGCCAGCTGCTTGCTGTCTCTCATGAGCCTTCCCCCCAGAGCCTTGAGTTTATTTTCATTTCCTACAATAATACACATCCATAAGAGAAATTGCAGAGATTACAGATTGGGCGGGGCGGGGGGGGGATTTAAATCACTTGTAATTGCAGTCTCCAGAGAGAGAAGAGAGAGACATCTGGTCATTTTTCTGTCCATAGGTATTAAACGTGCACAGTTCTAACATTTTTAAATCTTAGTTCATCATACAATCGGCCTACGCATTAATTAGAAGATCCTCTAAGGGGTTAAAGGCCACCCAAGAGTCCTCAGTGCTCTATGCCCCTCAGCTGTGCAGTGAAGCCAGGCATGAGGCTTTACTGAAAGGGATGTTTTGGGGTTTGTTTTTTCCCCCCTGAAAATAGATAGTATGAAAGAGCCAGAGTCCAGTGGGTAAGGTGCTTGTCTGGCATGCCGTCATCCTGGGTTTGATCCCCAGCACTGCACACAGTCCCCCAAGCACCACCATGAGTGATCCCTGAGCACAGAGCCAGGAATAAGTCCTGAGCACTGTTGAATGGAGTCCTCTTCCCCCCAAAATTAAAAAGAATGAAAGTAGTGATTTGTCTTTAAATTGCTGGAAAATGCAGTACTTCTCTATGTGTAAAAGTATGTATTATGTTGGTTTTTTTTTCCTAAAGGAGGAACGTATAGTTCTAGTCGTATTTTTTAAGTTGCCATGATCATGAGGTAAAATTTTTGTTTACAGAAATTTTAATAATGATAGTATCTTATAGCACAGCGGGTAGGGCGTTCACCTTACAAGCGGCCAACATGGCCGACCCGAGTTCGATTCCTCCGCCCCTCTCAGAGAGCCCGGCAAGCTACCGAGAGTATTCGATATGCCAGACACAGTAACAACAAAGTCTCCAATGGAGACGTTACTGGGCCCGCTCGAGCAAAATTAAGTAAATGAATGGCAATTTATTCTGTTGGGCCTTCTTAGGCATTTGTTTCTGTTTTCCACCATCTCAGCATCTCTGAAAGCACTGATAGAGCTTCTGTTATGAAATGTCTTCTATACTTAGAAATTAAAGAGACTTTGTGTCGCCCAGGATCACAATATCCAAACTTATCTTGCATTTGAGAGGAAGTCTTTGTTGTGGGTTGTGCGACTCGCTAAAGAGTTTATTTCATTTCAGAGCTGTTACTCCTTCTCTAACTGCCATTAAAAATAATGTTTCTGTCCCAAGGCATGTCGACTCGGACCGGTACAGATGTAGATGCAGCAAGACTCAAGGAAACGTTTACTAACTTGAAATACGAAGTCAGGATCAAAAATGATCTGACCTGTGAGGAAATTAAGAAATTGCTGTACAGTGGTAAGAAAGAACAAAATGAATGGCCTTCATTGTCCAACTCCATATTATGAACTAACTATAATTGATACATAAGAAGAAAGCATGAGAACTGTGGAACTATACTGACCATAGTTATGCTGTCTAAGTCAGTATGTTTGCACAGTTTGTTCCTAAAATAATTTGCATTGATTTGTCTGCCTTGGTTAGGTTTTTCTTATCATCTCATTCTCACTTTGCACAACCTGGCAGGCTACCGAATGTGACCTGCCCACACGGCAGAGTCTGGCAAACTCCCCGTAGCGTACCCAATATGCCAAATACCAGTAACAATGAAGGGTCTCATTCTCCTAACTCTGAAAGAGCCTTGAATATGGCACTTTTTTAAAAAATCTCAGGGGTAAGATAAAGGAGACGTTACTGGGGCCTGCTCGAGGCAATCGACGAATAACAGGATGGTTGTGATTGTGAGGTTAGGTTTAAATGATCTCTTAATTGTACTCGCTTTTCTTCAACTTATTCCCAACCATATATATAAAATTGTCACATAATGTGGAGATTTTGTGTGCTTATTTTCTTGTGTGTCTTTCTAGCTTCTTTAGAAGATCATAGCAAAAGGAGCAGTTTTATTTGTGTGTTTCTAAGCCATGGTGAAGAAGGAACCATTTTTGGAACAGATAAACCTATTGAGCTGAAGATCTTAGCAGGTTTCTTCAAAGGGGATTGTTGCAGAAGTCTAACTGGAAAACCCAAAATTTTCATTATTCAGGTAATAAGTTACAAGTATTTTTGTTAACGAGAATTAATCAGGAATTATTTTAGTCAGTTATAGATTATCTAAAGGATTTTGTATATTTCCTGCTGCCAAGCCGTAGCTTATTTGTTCGTTTAAGCTACTACTTTGAGAGATGAATATATTTTAATTTTAGACTTACATAAACAATAGTCTGGGCTGGAGTTGTAGTACAGCAGTAGGCTGTTTGCCTTGCATCCTGACCAGATTTGTTCCCCGGCATCCCACATGGTCCCCCCAAGCACTGCCAGGAGTAATTCTTGAATGCAGAGCCAGGAGTCAGTAACCCCTGAGCATGGCGGGGTGGGGCCCAAAATGCTTAGATAGTTCTATATATGAGTTGTGCCATCAGAGAGATAGTAAAGGAGTATTTAAGTGCTTCCCTTGTATGCAGCTGACTCCCATTCAATCCCTGGCACCCATATGGTGCCCTGCGCCTTCCGTGAGTGATCTCTGAGTGCAGAGCCAGGAGTTAGTCCCTGAGCACAACCGGATGTGGCCCCAAAACTATACTCTCTCAGGCCCTCATATTTTCTCAAAATATTTACCTTCTAATCCCTAGGCCTGCCGAGGTACAGAACTCGACTGTGGAATAGAGACTGACAGTGGTTCTGAGGATGACATGACGTGTCAGAAGATACCAGTGGAAGCTGACTTCTTGTATGCGTATTCCACAGCACCTGGTAAGAAAATACCTGTCATTGTTAGTAGATTTTAAGCAATGAAGCGTATTTTCCAGATTGGGATATCCCTGAAAAGCAGTTAATTTTTCTGCATTCTAGTCTACCTTAACCATAGAGAAGTCTCTAAAAGTTGTCTTTATTTTGGCTAGAATAATGCTTATTTACATAGGGCTGGAGCGATAGCAGAGCGGTAGGGCGTTTGCCTTGCACATGGCCGACCCGGGTTCAATTCCTCTGCCCCGCATGGCAAAGCCTGGCAAGCTGCCCGTGATGTAATGGATATGCCAAAAACAGTAACAACAAGTCTCACAATTTGTAGACGTTACTGGTGCCTGCTCGAGTAAACCAATGAACAATGGGAGGACAGTGCTACGGGGCTACATGTAATATACAGAACCTTAAAGTACCATTCAGTCCTGAACTTAATACCAAAGAGAATATTGTCTTGCAGTTTCAGGCCAAATTAGAGCTTTACCTGCCTCTGGAATCGTTGATAGATGTTTTTGGCCCTTTTGCTTTTGCTTTGGGGACCACGTGTGCAAGACAGTGCCCTCCCCCCTGTATCACTTTGGACCCTCAGCCACTTTTAATGATGCGTTTTTTTCCCCCTTTACCTGTGCTCTTGCATCTCTTTTGGGGTATAGGGAGACAGTTTGGTATCGCATAAGCAGTGCTCAGGGGCTGTTCTTGACCCTGCTCAAATGACCCCTGGCAGCATTGGGGCACCATTTGCATACCACGGATCTTCAGTACAAGGCCTGCTCCTTACCCCCATACTGTCTCTCCTGCCTGCTGTCACCCGAGGCTCTCTTTTTTGTACTTACTCTTCCCGGTTGAGCGGATCTTCAGAAAGGAGACTGTGAGGAATGCAGTGGTGAGGCCAGCCTCTGGCTCATTCTTCGGTGACATCAGAGCTTACATAGCCCACTGTCCCCCTGTGGCCTCATTGCCCCAGAAACCAAATGAGTCATTGATTTTTTTTTTTCCTCTTATGGGTAACAATGCTGTGGAAATTTAGTTACACGCTCATTTATAAAACAATAGGTATCCATGGTATTCGGTTGTGTTTTTGCCTTATAGGTTACTATTCTTGGCGCAATTCAAAGGATGGATCCTGGTTCATTCAGTCACTTTGTGAGATATTGAAGCGGTACGCTGACAAACTTGAGTTCATGCACATTCTTACTCGGGTCAACCAAAAGGTAGCAACAGAATTTGAGTCCTATTCCTTGGACAGAACTTTCCACGCAAAGAAGCAGATTCCATGTATTATGTCTATGCTCACAAAAGAACTGTATTTTTATCACTGAAGAAAAGAATAAGAGCTTTTGGGTTTATCTATACACCAAGGTAGGAAAACGGTTTGATGGATACTGTATTTTCATTCCTCTCCCATTTAAATCTGATCTAATACTCCAGATGGTACTTTGAATCATGCAATTTTCATAGCAATAAAACTACTGTAATACTACCTCAAACTCAAAATCAGGTAGTTGAAATTGAATTTTCACAGGAATAAATAAAAATGGTACAATCTCTATGAGATGAAATAATTGGAAATTCAAAATGGTACAATCCCTATGAGATGAAATAATTGGAAATTAGCAGTTCTCATAACTAACAAATTTTAGGGAGGTTTTGCTATGAATTTTCAAGTGATTATGAAAAAGTTGACATCTACAGTAATGAATTTCAAAGACATTGATGTGACGGTTAAGAGTTTGCATTCTCTTGCCTCTATTGCTGATCACAATACCCAAAAGGAGAGAGAGAACAAAAGGGAATGCCCTGCCACAGTGGCTGGGGGGGAGGGATATTATCCTGGTGGTGGAAAATGGGCACTGGAGGAGGGATGGGTATTTGATCATGGTATGACCGAAATCCAAGCACAAAAATTTGTAAATCTACAACTGTACCTCATGCTTTTTCACTAATAATAAAAAAAATAAAATTAAAAAAAAATACAGTATCTTTTGATGGTAGGAAACATACACTGGTGAAGGGATGGGTGATGGAACACTCTATGGCTGAAACCTGATCATGAACAACTGTGTAACTGTGTGTTTCATGATGGTTCCTTTTTTTAATTTAAATATAAATAAATAAATCCCAAAAAAAAAGAGTTTGCATTCTTGTCATTATCAAATCACAGAACCAGTGATGTGGAATGCTTTCTCTTAGAGCTAGGGCATCCATGGGCACCGCTAATGGCCTAAAGACACTGACACTAGATTTGGAATTTGGAAATGTTAATTATGTATTTAGATCACTTACCTGAGCCCATGACTTCATGGTATGTGTCTTGAGCATGTCTCTGTTGTGAAAAATCATGTTTAGTATTGAAAAAGAAATTCGATTGGTTTACTTGATACGGTGTGGGCAAACTGAGTTGATCTCCTGAGGTTCCTAAGCTCAACAGAGAGGGACAGAGTGGCCCCAATAAGGTGCTGAAACATGCAGCCGATCCACCAGCATACGGAGCCTCTCTTGCCCCTGCACCAACATATGAGTTACACACCAGCACAATATCTAGAGAACTGTTAGGTCAGGACCTCAACCCCTCCACTGTTATTTGAGCCAATAGCAGCATGAACTGGAGACTTTCTATAGGAAGGGATGAAAGTACAACGCGGGTAATGCAGAGGGAAGGGTGAGAGCACCAGCACTGCACAATCCTTGGACGGGACCACCATCTGCTCGCACATTTCTGCATCTGGACTGGTACGAGGAAGATGTCCCCAGGCCGGACTCCCACGACAGCCAAATCAGGAAGTTCAGATGTGGACATGTCCCAGAGAGGCTCGGAGACGGGACGCACCCGTTCTCTCAATGCTGAGCCTGTGAAGTTCTTCTCTGTAAGTTTACAATCCGAAGGAAATGATGCTGTTACAATGCAGTACGTTATCCAAGTGCAAGAACTGCAGCACACAGATCAGAAGATCATCTGCTCTGCCCCATCCTTTGGTGCTCGGGGAGCAGAAGGCCAGAGAGTTGGCGCTCAGCTGCCTCGAGGTCTTGCTTGGTCACCTCACGTCACCCCACCACCATATGTCACTGGTGTTGGGTTTCTTTTCCTTACAGATAGAAGCTCGTGTTTATAAGTGACGGTTGTTGGTTTAGACTCAATTTTCTACGTAAACGAGGCATGTAATTATCTTGAGCTGTGTTGTTGTGAGATCATTTTTTTAAGAATTGCTGATTCTTTTTTAATTTCAAAATAAAAATTACCACCAAGTTCATCTCTTTTGTTGTTGTTTCTGCTATTACACTATGCACTGAGAATTTGCAAATATCTCTATTTACTAAGAGCTACCACACGATTGTGCACAATATTTCATCACAAAAGCATTTTTAGGGTGAAAACCAGCCCCTGCTCCACTGTATAAAGAAGCTCTCAGCTGAGAGGTAAGGTGTTCCAGCGTATATGATTAAGTGGAAAAGGCTAAAACAGTTCTATAAATAGCATGTTATTTTCTGTATATTCCTTTACCTATTTTTAGCATTCAGTTCTTTTGTTCAGACTGATCATTTCGAACTGTTATTACCGTCTCTGTCCTAACTGGGCAGGGGTACATTAAACATACATTTTCCTAGAGAAATACCAGATGGATTTTTTTTTTCTTTTTGGGTCACCCCCCAGTGATGCACAGAGGTTATTCCTGGCTCTGCACTCAGAAATCACCACTGGCAGTGCTCAGGGGATGATATGGGATGCTGGGAATTGAACCCGGGTTGGCCGCGTGCAAGGCAAACGCCCTACCCGCTGTGCTATTGCTACAACCCCCCAGAAGGAATTTTTTTTTAATTTTTTAATAGTGAGACATCATGAGGTACAGTTACAGACTTACACAGTTTTGTGCTTGGGTTTCAGTTATACAATGATCAAGTACCCATCCCTCCACCGGTGCCCATTTCCCACCACCATGGATCCCAGTATCCCTCCCACCCCCATCCCCCCCACCCCATTCTGCCTCTGTGGCAGGGCATTCCCTTTTGTTCTCTCTCTCTTATTGGGTGTTGTGGTTTGCAAAAGAGGCGATGGGTGACAATCATGCTTAGTCTATAGTCTACTTTCCGCATGCTTCTCCCATCCTGGGAGGATCCTCCCAACACCTTTATTTGGTGTTCTCTTCTCTATCTGAGCTCCCCTTTCCCCTAGCATGTGTGGTTGGCCTCCAAGCCATTTGCTCCATGGCTCAGAAGGATTTTTTAAAGTGCCTTGAGAGTTGAGTACAATGGATAAGACCTTTGCTTACAGGCAACCATTGTAGGGTATCCCCAGAAATATGTGATCCCTCAGACCCTGCCAGGATTAAACTCAGAACATAGATTTGTGTGGCCCAGGCCATTCTGCACAAAAAAGGCTTGAGCAACAGTACAGCAGGTAGAGCACATAGTTGGCCTGGGTTCGATCCCCAGCACCTCATAAGATTCCCTGAGCACCGCCAGGTGTGGCACAAAAACAAAAGTGATAAAGTGAACGGAAATAGAGGAAGTATAGAAAACTTGAGAAGCCAGCTTTGATCAACAGAATCAGGGTCAAATACATTTACACTAGCAAATGCATGTGTCCACACCTCATTATTTTGGACAACCGTGACTCCAGATCTCACTGCTGACTGATTTTTATTTGGCACCACACTCACTTGGGCTCAGGGTTTATTTCTGCCTCTGTGCTCAGGAGAGACCCCTGGCAGAGTTCAGGGGACAGTATGGGATGCAATGGGATGCAACCCAACCAACCCTTGGTGCATTAGGCAGAATTTAAAGGCAGAAGCAGTTGAACCAGAACAGTGGTTTGATTTATTCAATGGGACCATGAGAAATCAGGTAGACGAAGAACACTATAATAAACATATTCATGCCCTTACAATCAGCCACTAATTTTAAACAAAGTTGATGACACATATTAAAAACCAATTTTTTTTTTTTTTTGCTTTTTGGGTCACACCCGGCGATACTCAGGGGTCACTCCTGGCTCATGCACCCAGGAATCACTCCTTGCAGTGCTCGGGGGACTATATGGGATGCTGGGAATCGAACCTGGGTCGGCCATGTTGGCTGCATGCAAGGCAAACGCCCTACCCGCTGTGCTATCACTCCAGCCCCAAAAACCAATTTTTTTTCCCTTTATTTTATTTTATTTTTTTTTTAAGTTGTAGATTTACAATTTTTTGTGCTTTGCTTTCAATTATACAATGATCAGATACCCATCCCTCCACCAGTGCCCATTTTCCACCACCATGGATAATATCCCTCCCACCCCCATCCCCCCATCCCCCCGTCTCTGTGGCAGGGCAATCCCCTGTGTTCTCTCTCTCCTTTTGGGTGTTGTGGTCTGCAAAAGAGGCATTGAGTGGCAAACATGTTCAGTCCATAGTCTACTTTCGACATGCATCTCCCCTCCTGGGAGGATCCTCCAAACATCCTTTATTTGGTGCTCCCTTCTCTATCTGAACTGCCCTTTCCTCTAGGATACCCGGCTGGCCTCTAAGTTATGGAGTAATCCTCCTGGTGCTGATCTCAGCTATTCTTGGGTATTAATCTCATACTTTGTTACTTTATATCCCCCAGATGAATGCAATCTTTCTATGTCTATCCCTCTCTTTCTGACTCATTTCGCTTAGCATGATACTTTCCATATTGTACCACTTGTATGTAAATTTCATGACTTCATCTTTTCTAACAGCTACATAGTACTCCATTGTGTAGAGGTACCAGAGTTTCTTTAACCAGTCATCTGTTCTTGGGCATTCAGGTTTCTTCCAGTTTCTGGCTATTGTAAAGAGTGCTGCAATGAACAAACAAGTGCAGATGTCACTTCGACTATGCATTTTTGCCTCTCTGGGGTATATTCCCAGGAGTGCCAAAAACCAATTTTTAAGCCAACATTTAAACCCAGGAGAGCCGCTTTGCTCATTGATCTAGAGAGGGCCTGGATGATGGCACAGGTTAGCTGACTTAGCCCTAAATCTGAAGGTAATTCTGGGGAAGTTAAAAGTTTCACTCAACAAATATCATTTCTTTGCCACGTTTTGTATTCGGTGTTCATGCTACAGAGATGAGAGCTACAGAAATCAGACGACAAACAGATCCTACGTCATAAGAGGCTCTTTGCTTTCACTAGGAGTAATGTGAGGCAAAGAAAATTCCCCGAGCTGCCTTAGCATGGGGGACACTTGGCCCGTCTCCTGATCTCTGCCTCTTTGCTTGTCAAAAAAGAATGCAAAAGGATAGGTGACTCAGGAGCATAAGGAAGGAGAGGAGAGCCCGGTTGGCAGCTCAAGCAGAAGAGCTGAAGAGTTCCTGTGGTCAAACCCGAGTTCCATCCCCTCACTCCAGCCCCAACCCCCAACCCCAGCACTATCAGGTGTGGCCTCTTTTTTAAAAAGTCATTTGGGAACACTGGCTGACCTGGGGGCGGGGGGCAGTTGTTCGTTTGGGTTTTTTTGTTTGTTTTTAGTTTGGGGTCACACCCAGCCATGCTCAGGACTTACTTCTGGCTCTGTATTCAGGAATCACTCCTTAACGCTCAGGAAGCATTGCTGAATCACTCAGGAATGTTCACGGACCATACGGGATGCCAGGGATTGAACCCGGGTCAACTGTGTACAAGGCAAATGCCCTAACCACTGTGCTATTGCTCGTGCCCCTGACCTGTTCTGTGGTTGTTGTTGTTGTCGTTAAAGTAAATAGAGACAGCTCGTGGGGCACCATGGGACTCATCCCACCAAATTCTGGTGATTTTATGACAATTCTCAGCTTCAGGGTCCGGACTATGAGGGGCTATACTGTGAATTTGTGGGCTCTGCACTCTTTTTTTTTTTTAAACCACTTACAGACCACCTGGTTCTTCCCTGGAGTCTCTGGGTCACAGCGGACTCAAGCAGGAAAAAGATGAACAGCCATGGGAGGAATGTAATGTCTTTTATTGTTGCTTTTTGAGTCATAGCTAGCTGTGTTCAGGGCCTACTCCTGGCTCTGTGCTCAGGGATCACTCCTGGTGGGACTCAGGGGACC